AGGCGATCTGGGTTTAATCCCGAATTTGTTTGCTGAAATTTACGTTTTCAACTTTATAAATGATGTTGAGTGTTTTTTTTTTTTTTTTTTTTTTTTTTTTTTTTTTTTTTTTTGTTAGAGATGATAGAACATGATTTCTAGATATGCGAAGGGACCCTTTCATGCGTCGTCGTTAGTTCGGGTCGCTTCCGGAAGTGAATTTAAAAAATCAAATTTTTCAACTTCAATATTTTTCTGTATTCTTTGTAGGGTTAAGAGAGCTTCCTTTCAAAATACTAAATGTATAATTTGTTTTCGAATTGATAAATCCAAACTCTTGATATTTGTCAATTTCACTTTGAAGTGGGAGTTGAAATGGCGCAATGGTTAGCACGTTGGATTCTCACGCTGACGACCAGGGTTAAATCTCCAGAGTGTCACTTTTTCAGCTTGAATTTACATTTTTATTTTCAAAATCGGACGGAAGACCTCTCATTGCTCGCAATGAGTTTCTAGTTATTATTCTTATTCTTATTTTTTTGACTTTCTAATTTTGTGCACGCGATTTCTCGAAGACTATTGGATGGATTTACATGAAATTTTCAGGAAAAGTGTTTTGTAACATGAACTTGATCTATCTGAGAGATTTTTTGGAAATTAACTTCCGGTGCCAAGTTACAGACCATTTTCTGATTTCAAAATGACATTTTGTCCGCGGATAATCTCAAGAACGACAAAAGATATCAATCTGAAACTTTCAGGGATTATAGTTCGTGTTAGGTACTAGCCGGGTCGCTACGTTTCGTTCGTCGTCGGTACTTCCGGTCGCTTACGGAAGTGATCAAAGAAATCGTAAAATTTCAACTTTCCTTTTTTAAATCAATACTTACATCACATTATTGCATCTCTTTTGTAGTTTCGAAATATGTTGGTCCCACCGGAAACAAAAACGCTAACTTCCGGTTATAATAGAAAAACTACATAATTTGAGTATTTTTCTTTCCCATTAATACCTTTTGTAGATAAAGTATTTGAAATGAATTTTAGATATGTTATTCAGACAGCAAATGTCTAGAGTAACGTCAAATATCTTTGTAAAATTCACTTCCGGTCGTGTGTTTTCCTGACCTCACAATGAGAAGTTGTGTGAGCAAGATCTCGGAAACGGTAAGAGATTATGACACCAATCTTTTACGAGAAACAGTCCTTAAGATGTAGGCAAAACCATTTGGGTAATGAGCGTCAGTAGTCACTTCCGGTCGTCACAGGAAGTGATCAAAGAAAACGAAAATTTCAACTTTTCTTTTTTTAATTAAAAATTGCATCTCTTTATTGCATCTTTTTCGCAGATTCGAAAGATGTTCGTTCCACCGGTAACAAAAACGACAACTTCCGGTTAGAAGAGAAAAACTAAATAATTTGAGTTTTTTAATTTCCCGTAAATATTCTTTATAGATAAAGTATTTGATATGAATTTTAAATGTGCTATTCAGAGTGCAAATGTCTAGAGTAACCTTAAATATTTTTTCAAAAATTCACTTCTGGTCGCATGTTTTCCTGTCCCCAAAATGAGAAGTTGTCTGAGCGAGATCTCAAGAACAGGTTAAAGATTAAAACACCAAAATTTTAAGAGTAATGGACGTTGAGGGGTAGGTGAAACCATTTGGGTTAAACGCGTCAGTCGTCACTTCCGCTTGTCACAGGAAGTGATCAAAGAAATAAAAAATTTAAACTTTTCTTTTTTAAATTAAAACTTATATGACTTTATTGCATCTCTTTTGCTGTTTTGAAATATGTAAGATTCCAACGTAAACAAAAACGTCAACTTCTGGTTTTAGGAGATAAACTTCGTTATTCTTATATTTAACTTTCTCATAAATATCGCTTATCGATGAAGTACCTGAAATGATTTTATGCATGTTGTAGATACTGCAAGTGTCTAGAGAACAGTCAGAGATTTTTATAAAATTCACTTCCGGTTGTGTGTTTACCTGTTCTCAAAATTAGAATTTAGTCCCACAATATTGTTCGGCAACAGTAAACGAATGAGGACTAAAACTTTTAGGACTGATATTCAGTCATCAGTTTATTTGAATCGTGAGACAATCTTACATCGCCGTTACTTCCGGTCGTGAAAGGAAGTGATTTAAAAAAGTGAATGGTTAATGGTTAGCACGTTGGATTTTCACGCTGACGAATAGGGTTAAATCTTCAGAGTGTTTCAATTTCTTTTATCATTTTTTCAGCTTGATTTTTCGTTTTTATTTTCAGAATCGGACGGAAGACCTCTCATTGCTCGCAATGAGTTTCTAGTTATTCTTATTATTATTATTATTTTTTTTTTTTTTTTTTTTTTTTTTTTTTTTTTTTTTTTTTGATATCACAGGACAATATTTTTGTTGTCCATAAAATACTTAAGCCCCAAATTTAAAATATCAGCAGTGTGCACCCGGGTTTTGGTATAAATCAATAGCGGTTGAAAAGGACTACCTGATTCCAGTCAGAAAATAGCATTTAAATAGATGTTAAGCAAAATCTAATATTGTACAGTTAAATAAATAAATTACATGTAATATATCGTAATAAAATATGTAGAGATAACGAACAGTATTCGAGCTCAAAAGTCCATTAAACATTGCAAAATAGGAGCAGAGCCACACGGACCTCTAAGTCATCAGAGGTGCTATGGAGGAGTGAGCACCCCCTGTCGACCGGTCACATCCGCCGTGTGCTCCTTGTCATTATCGGGAAATAGCGGCAAATAAGTAAATGAAATACATTTTACTAACGTGTTACACGTAAAATCAGCTTTTTATGACATGGTAAACTCATACACATGTATAAACAAGATGGGTTTCATTCTCCACTTAACGCCAGGAAATCTCATCAACAAAAGTCTATTGAGCCAGAAGGAGCGGACTGTAAGAAACAATGACGTTGTTGGACGTCATGAATTTACGGTGCTTATATAATGTCTTTTGTATTTAATAATCATCAATTCAAACTAAAATTTTCAACATTTTTTAAACTTCTCTTTTTTTTCTTTCCTTAAACTTCAATATGCCAACAAAGGAATTGACGCAGTTAATATTCTTCATCACAAAGGGATCAAGTCTCAAGTTGAAGTCCACACCTTGTATTTCTTACAAAAAGACATCGACTATTGCTTCCAATTTTTTTAATTACAAGAAAATTTTACAGAAACTAAATATCGAACATCCTCCATCGTGTTCATGTCCTTCTTCACCCTACAACTATAGTCCTGCTTGGACAGGTGACGTAAATATGGTTAATAATGAGGACCTTAAATCACTTATTTTAAAAGGGCCTAAATTTAGGGAACCCCGATCTTTCAACCGTCGTCATAATTTCATAATTTTTTTGAATACTGTGGAACATTACGCCAGGCAATGGGCCAGACATGAAAAAGAAGACATTGACTCTTTGTCAGAATGGATTTAGTGTATCAGATGTATGTTAAAATCTCCTATTAAGCGATTGAGAGACAATATGAAAACCGTCTATCCTTCTGTGTTTAATAATTCAGAAGTGAAAAAAGACTTAGATAGAATACAGCGACCATTATGTTCTGGTCCCAGCTGACAAAGCAGGTCACAACATTGTCTTTGTTTTAGATTACAACGATTATTATGTAAGTCCTGGTCCCAGCTGACAAAGCAGGCTCATTATTTGAATTGTATTTTAGAGAAACTTGGATTTAATTCCACAAGTAGTAATCCAACTTATACCCATAGCTCCCTTTCTAAGGAGGAAATTCTTTAAAATCCTATGTCAGTTTTAAATATTTTTAATATTCCCAACAGCCAAAATGAATTTGAATTACCATACCTATATTGGATACCGAAACTTCATAAAAATCCTTACAAACAAAGATACATAGCGTGTTCCAGTAAATGTTTTACCAAGCCTCTTCTTTATTCCTCACTAAAATATTAACAGCAGTGAAGGAGAAACTTCAGGAGTACTGTGTATTTGAGAAGTGGTTTAAATCAGATGTGGATTCTTTAAAATTCTCTACAGTACATAAAAACGCCTGAAAAAAAGATTGACATCAAAAATTACGTCAAATATTTTATAGAGAAATCAATTTATTGTAATATATCTAAAAATGAAATATAATGCTATATTTTAATTTTAAAAAATTTAAAGGTTTACGAATATCAAGACATTTATTTTAAAAAGTAACATTATTTTATTAGATACTTCCATTATATAATAATATCCAAGGTATATAATCTGACATGAATTATTACGAAGGGACCAAGCATAAATTGAAAAAAAAAAACATTATTGTATCTTGAAGTGACAAAAGCACAGTATCTTATAATGAAGAAACCAGGGCATAAAGTGAAAAAAAACCCCACAAAATATCATGAAATCACTACAGCATATAACGCAAATAGAGCAACTTATCATGAAATAACCACAGCATGTAACGCAAATGCACCATTTTGTTATAAAATAACAATGATACATAATGGTTTGTTTTATCTTTAAATAAACTGTGGTACATACATATTAGTCTTTATGTAAATAAATGGAAATTTATTTAAGCAAGTGCATTTTTTTTAAATCCATGTCTAATTATACATCTTGTATGTATTCACTGCAATCTATAAAGTCTGAACTACCACTTATTTGTATAAAGTATTTCACGGGCCCGCAATTGAATCTGAGAGTATATGGAAGGTTACATTTTCATCAATACTGAGGATGTGTGTATGTATGTTATATTGGGGGGGGGGGGGGGATAAGGAAAAGATTGATTCTTTTTTCAATTAGCAAAATTAGAACAAATGTCTATTTTTATTTCGTGTATGACAAAAATACACGAGCATGCAGATAATTTCACATTTTGTATGAGCTTTTATCTAGGTGCCCTAGTATTCGTACGGTATCGTAGTACTTTTTCTGAGTTTTCAGTGCAAAGACAGCATATATAAGAGGTTCCACTTAAACTCGTCTCACTGTCTACATAATCTAGTGGAATAGACGTCATAATGAAGGTTATCGTTATTCTCGCTGTTGTTGTCGTTGCAGGTAAAGATGCACATTCTATGTTTTTAAACCTTTTAACCCTTCTCTACCCTTAACCAAAATTCAATCAAAATGTATTTAATTTTTTTTTAAATTACTGGACAGTAAATTTAATTTGCCTTCCATTGACCAATGTTGAAGGTACAATTAGCAATCAGTACCTTTAAAAATTTCATTTAAGTTTTTTTTTCAAGTCTTTTCAAAGAGTTACTTTTTGATTTAAACGTGATTTAAACCCCGTGATTCCACGGGGTTTTTTTCATATTCATAATTTTAGTTAAACATATATATTTTGAAAGTCGTTTTCCGAATTCATGACATAAGAAGAGACTTACTTGTTCCTCTTCTTTATTTTTTTTTTATATTGTTTTTACTAAGCTTGATTATAATCATCGTAATATTACAAAACTGATCATGAAAAGGATGTTACATCACCGATTGGTGCATTGTTTTATAGAAATCTTCAATTATATCTTCTTTAAAGGGATAATATACATTGACCTATCAAAGCATTTCAAGTAGTTAATTGTTTTTTATCGGCGGACTCAGATGTCTGTATCACTAGAATTCACTTTTTGTAACTATAAACCCTAGCTTATGCTGAGACCTGCACTAGTCCCGGGGACTGCACAGCCACATCATGTGGAACCGGAACCGAGCTCCACTGTGTAGATGGTGCTTGCACGTGTACACATGCCGCCACCGGTGACGGTAAATATATTGCCTTTTGTTTTTCAACTATAACATGTATTTAAACTGCGGGAATAACCTATAACCATTGATAATCTTTTTTCAGGAGCCTGCACGAACGCGAATGATTGTCATGGCAGATGCAACCATGGCCGACACCACTGTATCGATGGTCGATGTAGATGTTCTCACTTCTAGATTATAACTTGTAATAAAAGCTTTTTAACTAGGCCGAGTCTAAATATTTCTCTACCCTAGATATTTTGTTTCATTTTATGTACAGTTCACGGCCAGGAACACGTAAAGTTCCTAGACAGTACTGTTGTCAGAAACCTTTAAAGTTAAGCACTCAAACTGGTTCGTTGTCATGAACATACAGGTAAGGTTACGATAAAATCCGTCCGGTGTCATGCAAAAGTTACAAGAATTTATACACAATGCCTAAAATTAACGTTTTGGACAAATTCTAAGAATAATTTTAAATTTTGGGAAACAGATACAACATTCAGTATTCCATACAAAGATTTATGTATTTGATATCCACAATACATTTAGAGGAGTTTTGGTTGGCGATCACATGCCCATGTGTGAAGGCATGATCGTGAGCTGGAAAATTATATATTTCTTACATTTAATTCATCGAAATGGTTCTTTTATTTTAAAATATGAAAAGAAACTTCATTTTAAATGTATTAAGCAACTGACAGCCTTTTGTAGCTAACATGTTTCAAGAAATCGCAATTTATAAGCAAAAAGTCCGTTGTCAGTACATGTTAAGTTTATCTGGTCCGGTGTCATTTTTCTTAACATGTAAGTAAATCAATAAAATGCAACAGAAATTATCAAAAATATGCTTAATTTAAAAGAATACAAAGCATATTACAGATAATATTGAATCTTGGGGTCGTCTTAAAGCAACTCACACGAACGTGCTAACTATTCTGCGATGTTTTTATTTTCATTTTCTCTTAGGAACCTGCATCCTAGCTAGTATGCGCCGGTGCTAGATCCGCCTTTGGTTATTGAGCAGATTTTTATAGAGTTTCTGTATACCGTATATTCCAATGTAAAACTTTTGTCACCAATTGTGGCCCCACCCTACCCATGGGGGTTATGATTTGAACAAAATTGAATTTGTTTTTGTTTGTTGTTTTAATATCCCTCTAAAAAAATTTCACTCATAAGGAGACATCACTGCTTGTCGGTGGAGGGCCAAAAATTTAGACCTATTCTCGGAACTCAGGGCCTTTGAGAAGTCTGGGACCTTTTTCGTGCCAGAATCTACAAAATTAAAAGTACACTATGTACTTTCACATAAGTATCATTTCTTCTGATCCAGAAGTTCTTGAGAAGAAAATTTTGAAAGAGTTATTCTTAAATATTCTATTTAAACTTTGATCACCTATTGTAGCCCCACCCTTCCCCAGACATGATCTGAATGAAAATGAATCCACACTTTATAATAAAGCTTTCACATAAGTTTCAACTTTTCTGACACAATGATACTTGAGAAGATTATTTAAAGATATCACTAAATTTTCACTAATTCTTAACTATACTTCCTTGAAAGAGGGCATGACCATTAATTTGAACAAACTTTACTCCCTTTATCCCATTTGCTTTCTGGCAAGTTTGGTTGAAATTGAAATTGGCCAGTAGTTCCTGAGAAGAAGCTGCAAATGTGAAAAGTTTACCGACTGACAGACGGACGACACAAAAATGTGATCAGAAAAGCTCACTAGAGCTATCAGCTCAGGTGAGCTAAAAATGTCAACCCCTACACCAATTATATCGACACTCGTATGAGAATTAAGCAAAAAAAATTAATTTCAGAGAAGGAGTTGATCCTTACGTCGCGGGTTCGAATCCCACTGTGGGACGTGGAGACCGGCCCTTCGGATGAGACAGTATAACTGAGGTCCCGTGTCGCAGTAGATGCTGGCACGAAAAAGATCCCTCACTGCTCAATGGCCGTAAGTGGGGAGTATAGGACAAAATTGTACCGTATTGCGAGTAATGCTAAATAAATACAACTTGTTTACTTATTTATCAGCCAAACACTGTCTATCCTTCTGTCTGTCTAGCTCTAGCTCTCTCTCTCTCTCTCTCTCTCTCTCTCTCTCTCTGTGTGTGTGTGTGTGTGTGTGTGTGTATGTGTGTCAATCTCTCTCTCTCTCTCTTGACGACCTTAGTAAATATTCAACACAATATATCGGCGACAAAATGTGGAAATGTTCACAGTACATACTTTCGCCGGCGACAAAACGTTCCCATGCTTGAATGTACATTTTGTATTCCATTACGCAGGAGGAAAAAAAGGCTCGTCTCGGTACAAATTTTCGCCGGCGACAATATGTACCGATGGACGACGATATGTGCAGTCAGGGTAGGTACATTTTATCGCCGATACCTAAAACAACATAAGATCGTCCTTCGTAGTGTATAAAGTACAGTAGCGACAACGGACCGGTGACAACGGACTGAATTTTCGTATCTTGTCATGACAACGGACAAAAAATGAAATACATCAAAATTTTCAGTTTTAATTTGTTCTCATTTTTTCTGTAAAGGTTTACAACATGTCTTGATACTGTCTGCACCAATTGGTGTGTATATTACATTCTATTTACGAAAAATATAACATCTCAGTAGGAAAATGAATCAAATCCTGAAGTGATTTCAACAGGTTAAATGTGGCCAACGCAAACTCTTCTTTTATTACTTCTTTTTAAGGGCTGAAATTCATACAACACCAAATAGGGTGTCAGCCGTTTCCCATTGCAATTTCAGACATTGTTATAGATAATTTAACCTGAAAAATGAAAAACTTCTCACAGCCTGTCTTCTCAAGTCATGACACCGGACGGATTTTATCATAACCTCACCTGTATGTTCATGACAACGAACCAGTTTCAGTGCTTAACTTTAAAGGTTCAGACAACGGTACTGTCTAGGAACTTAACGTGTTCCTGGCCGTGCAGTTGCTTACTACGGTTCTAACTCCAAAATTCGATGGGTATAATGCATGAAAAGAATGGGTAAACTTTGTTACAATATTCATATTCATTCCTACGTTGGTACGATGTATCCCACTGAACTCAAAATAAAAGATACCACAGAGACTGACACATCTGTTTCATATTTAGATATTTTACTAAAAAAAAGACATTAATGGCAAACTAACAACTTCACTTAATTGACTTAAACTATTCTATCTTCAACTTCCCTCATTTATGTAACAATATACTATTATCACCTCCATATGGTGTTTATGTATCCCACTTGAATCGATACACAAGAGCATGTTATACGTACGAACAATTTCTAAAAGCCATTGACAAATTGGTGGATGATACAAAAATTTCAACAATCTTGTTTAAAGGCAAGATTTTGCCAAGTGTATTGTAGAAACAATGACCTTGTAAAATTAGCAAAAAAATCTGCAGTTATGTCGAATGCTGATTGACGTTTTCATACAAATTGTTATTAAGCTATTATTTTCACATTGAATTTCCTACCAATTTTTTCCGTTTATCCTATCATAACAAGGGGCACACTGCGTTTGTGACCGGTCGAGAGGGAATGCTTACTCCTCCATGACTGAACCCACCTGTTTTCAGAGGTCAGTGTTGGCTCTTCTCGTGATTTTTTTTTTTTTAATTTTTGAAATAGATCTCTAATATGGTCTTCTTTGTAAACAAGCATTCTGAGAATATTGCATAAGCAATACATGTCCCCTACCGGTATCCCTTTTCCTTTTAAGGATGTCATTTTTTAAGACTCTGTATATGAAAAGTGCCCCCCAAAATGCGGACATTTCCGTAATTACTTATTTATGAATGCATTGTCTTGGAATGAAGTCTGCCTTACAAAGACATGTTTGACTACCATTAGACATAAATGGATGCTTTGATCAGAACAGCTCATCTTACATGATTAAAAAAAACCTATTTTTATTCTTCTGAATTTTTTATACAAAATATCATTATTATCGATGTGGGGCACTTATGCAGTGGTCCAAATTGAACAAGGTATGAATTGATGAATTGACCAGACACCATTGAAAACGTCAGAAGAAATTTCTAGAATTATAAGAATAGAAAATAAACGACTTCCTGTAACAGTGAACACACGAGGGATTGAGGTGTTTTCAAACCCTTTGACAATACAATCACTATGTATGAATAACACTACTGTCGGCAAGTGTAATCTGGTTCCCGTGAAAAATTGAAAATGACATAATTCAGTCAAAAATCAATGAAGCGGAACGAAATGCAAACTTGATCTCTAACTCATCAAGGTAAAGTCACATGCCAAAATCAGCTTAATATCTGTAAGCTTTTAGAAGAAAAAATGCGGAAAACCCTGAAAAATTGAAAAGGTCGTAATTCCGTCAAAAATCATTGAAGCGGAACGAAATGTAAACTTGATCTATAACTCATCAAGATACACTCACATATCAAAAATCAGTTCAATATCTGCAAGCGTTTAGAAAAAAGTGCGGAAAACCAAGTGGGACAGACACAGACTGATAGAGGGACAGTTAGACAGACAGACAGACGGACGGACAGACTCAGAGGAAACCTATAGCCCCCTCCGGTTTCACCGGTAGGGGACTAATAAATGATATAATGATGGTTAATAAATGAAACTTCAGCATTGGTTTTCCACATTACACTATGTCTTTTTATCTCCTTGCATCATACTTGTCTGTTGGAGATTACTACTGATTTTGGAGAAGTATAACGAATCAGAATTTTTTGCAAAAAATTACATGGAAATATAATCAAACATAGTATTTTCGCATATATATAAAGTCTGTACAGGAAAATCACATAAATTAGCGAGTAAGTCTCGTACCTTTTAAGATACCAACGTGGTATGAGCGAAAGTCATCACATATCTTCCAAAAGTTCAGAATGATGATGAAAGTTCCTCATATTATTTGCTCCATTACCCTTCAAACTTCACATTATCAGCCTAGATATGGAATGATTTTAAAAGCGGTGTGTGCCGATTTTCTAAGAACAGGCGGTTTATTTGATCCCGCTGTTAGTGCCAGTTCTAGTGAGTGGTTGACATCGAACACAGATGAACACAGGCGTCTGACAAATGTCCCTTTTCCCCCGCTAATTACCACGAGGACGTGGTACAGAGTGGGAGCATGTATGCTGTTGCTGAAATATGAAGATGAGGAGCAGTAATCAAGGTCAGAGCAAACACGGACTTCTATAAACATTAGAAGTGGGAGCAGGTGCTATGGAGGAGTAAGCATCCCCTGTCGACCGTTCACAACCACCGTGTGCTCCTTGTCGTGATCGGACAAAAGGGAAAATTCGTAGATATTTCAGTGAGAAAAAAATAGCCTAACAATTTGTATGAAAAACATCAGTCTATTCAATTTAACGATAGATTGTATTTACTAACAAGGTCACTGTATCGACCTTAGACATTGCAAAATGTTGACTTTAAACGGGACGGTATATATCCTTGTATCATCAACATATCTGTCAGTAGCTTACCTCGTTTTAGAAATTTTTCATACGCAGAGCATAATTTTCAGGTGACCAATGACAAAGTATGAAAATTTTCGAATTCTATTTTTATTGAAAAAGCAGCTGTCTATGATGTCAAAAAGTTTTGACTTTAATTTATAATAATTATTTTTTGTATAATTACATATAATTTATATAATAATTTATAATGATAAATGGTTGAAAAGTCGTACGTTTTGATGATTTTATTGATAAAATCTATTAATTTAAAAATAGATAAGTTCATTTAAGAAACAATGTTTGCTAAGATTGTTCTACAGCTGAAGGACCATAACTCTTACAACTAGCTTTACATCAGGCTTCTAATGGATGGGGAAAGGTAACATCATATAACGTATTCTCAACCCAAGATTCCCTCTTTCTGATTACACTCAGCCTTCGGGATAGTTGATTTTAGCACGAAGGAATTATAAGGTGAAGTATTTCAGACAAAAAACCCTCCACACCCACCCTTTATAAGATAATGAATTATTTGAATTGTGTTTCTTCTCTTGCTGCTGCTTGTTTGTTTGTTTGTTTGTTTGTTTGTTTCAGCTGAAGTACTTGAAAGTCTGCTTTAACTATGAAGAAATCGACACGGAATGAAAAAGACGAAGGGATTTCCAATTAGACGGTTCATTAATCGCATGGGATAAGCGGATTACGTGGCACCTTTTTTTAATATCAAGAAAAGAAAAATGTATCTTTTCAAAAAAAAAACTCTATGACATTTATCACACATTGATGGCCGCTTCCCGGGGTCCATGCAACTTAAAGTACTCGTAAATAACGTTAAACTGTTAATCAGCGTCCGCCGTATCCCGGGGTTATGCTGATTAAGGTTGCTTAGTAGTTGAATAACGTTGATGTTGACTAAACAGTTGAAGTTCAAATATGTGTTGAACAGTTGAATTACAAACGTGTTGAAGTTTGTAATTTGTTATCCAACAGCTGAATTTGAAAATTGAGTTGATGTTGCGATGTTAATATGTTGTGGTTTGCCTAAGTTTGGAGGGCAGCCAAATTTAAGTTTACAAAATTTAAATTTGCAAAGCCGTTCCCATTTATACACCTACAGTTAGGGCATTTATATTAAAATCAATAAGTTTTTAAGTTGTAGTCTTTTCTGCGATAAAATTTTGGTTAAATTTTGTGATTTCAAATTTCCTTAAAGTTCCATGGAGTTTCTGAGTATCCACATTTGATTAACACCTCTTCTCGAATATATTGTTGTACAGTACTCCTGAAGTTTCTCCTCGCTGCTGTTTATATTTTGTTGAGGAGTATGGAAAGAGGTTTGGTAGATGATTTACTTGAACCCGCTATGTATCTTTGTTTGTAAGGATTTTTATATAGTTTAGCAATCCAGCATGAATATTGTTATTCAAATTGAATATAATTGTTGGAAATACCAGAAATATTTAAAAATGACGTGATTTTGAGGAAATTCCTCCTTTGAAAGGGAGATATGTCTATAAGCGTACGTGTACATGATTCGGTAGACAAGCACAACCTTGTGGTTTGCTCTGTGCTGTTGTAGAGAATGCTTTTATAGGTCATTTATTAGTGGGCAAGTGCAACTTGTAGTTAAATATACAACTCTTGTCGTCCTTCGATGCATACTTCCTAGCTTGTCGATGTTGATGGCTGTTTAAGGATTTTAGACAGATGTATTGGCCTGACCAGCGTTTGTAGCACAAGATTTTGGTCTTGGTCGGTAGATTTGCTGGGGTTCTATGAAGGAAGCAGGCCTAGGACAGGTTAGATTTCTTTATGGTTGAATCAATATAACATGGTCATCGCTTGTCCGAAAGGTTTACACTGTACACCGAAGTATTTTTCTTTTTTGATAGTGACCAGCTGATGTCCATGCAGGGTATACTCAGCAATTATGAGATTTTGTTTTGGGGTGCTTTTGAAGAATATTTTCCAATTTCCTTCATCTTACTTCTGTAAGTCCTGATGTAAAATGTATGAGTCTGACACTGACTTGATTTTGCATTAAAAAGACTTTCAGCTACGAAGATTCGTTGATTTTGCTCTCTCTCTCTCTCTCTTTCTCTCTCTCTCTCTCTCTCTGTGGCAAATATGTTGTACAAAAGAAAGAATGGTGGGTCAATGACTGAGCCCTGGGGTACTTGAGGTCATTGGTGATGACAAACTGATAAGTGGTGGTGTATCAGGGCTCTCTGGTTACAGTCATTCAATAAACTCTTTATCTAAATGACAGATTCCCCTAACGCCATAGTTGATTAGCTTCAAACTAGGCCTCAGGGCGAACCTTGTCAAAACCTTACTGTTGTCAAAGAGTACAGCAACAATTTTGTTTTCCAACATTCAGGCTTCCAGCAAGGTCCTTCACTGTATCAGTTGGTTCTCACAAGACCCTGGACCATGTGTGAGTGTGAGTTCTTAAATTCTTAAATAAATAATAAATAATGTGGGCATTCCTTTCGTGTGGAAATCTCTGGAATAGAGGTGGATGTCATTTTTGGAACCTAGGTCTTTCAGGTGAAAACACTGCAGAAATGATCGTTTCTTATTGATCATGACCTTTGTGACATTATAAGTGATGCCATCCTTTTTGAGGAGTATCACTCCACACTATTTCTGTTTAATTGCTCACTATTAATATATCTATCGAGCTTTGTTGATCTCATTCTCGTTCTGAACCCATTCATTTTTTTTCTAATGGTAATGACATGTGTTTGCCGAGTTTAAATACTTTCGACTTTTCTTTTCCATGTCTGCGTTTTTTCCACAGAGGTACCTTCCTTTTCTTGAGCCAATTCAATGCAACGTGGGTCTGGACTTCTGTGAAATCTAAGATAAGCTGTTGCTTTGAACTAAGACTGGAACTGTCTGTAATAGAGGCGTTTCGATCATGAGGATGATAAACTCTATGAAAAGGAAGTAACAAATAGCATTCTAAAAAATCTTGGATGCCACATTTTGTGTAGATCCAAGAGCATATCCAGGGGCTTGCATTTCGCATAGTTTAATATAACATTGCACGAGTCAAATCCTAATTGATTTGCATGGCTTCTCACATACATATCCAACATAGCAACCATACACTGGACCAGGATTTGGATGGAAGTCACCAGAAGGGGAAATATGAATGTCAGAGAACAATTCAAACACACCATTGTAATTGTATTTTTGAAAAAAAAGGCTACTGTTTAGGGGACAAAAGAAAATGATTTCAAGGTCCACTGGGAAGTCTTGGTAATTTTGACCTGACAATTTTTCTTCGAAATAAGTGTATAATCAGGTTTTTACTGTATTTACTTGAATGGTATGTTCAGAGAAAAATCCTGATTTGGGCTCGATGATCCGCTTTCTCCAATATAAGCTTGTATATTATTTTTTCTTTCTTATGCAAAAATATGCTGTTTTAATAATAAATCAAGAAACCCCTTTCTCAAAACACTCGTGGAAAGTCTTACTCTGTGTTTTAATAGTCTATAAAAAGTTAGGCTGGCGTCAAAATCCACAACAAGATATATAAAGCAATTATGACCATTAATCAATACATTGATTGAATGTAGGTGTTAAATCCAGTGGTGGATAAGTATAAATCCCAGTGGCACCATCTACGGATGTAGCTAGGAGTCCTAGAGAATAAAAAAAAAACCACACACACAAAACAGAAATACATTGTATTATTTATTGAACATGGGAAAAAGGCAGATGCGAACGATTTTTTAATCTTTATATAATATGGCGGAAAAAAAGAAAATATACCCACTTTAGATAATGATAGCCTTTAGTAGGGAATGTTTAGAATTTTTAAAATTTTTCATTATTCAAACACATGCAATATGCTTGTAAGCTTGAAACCACAAATATTGAATAAAAATGACTTGCAATTTAAATATCATGTCACTTTTTCTTACTGACAATTCAAAGCAAAACAAAAACAATGTAATTATGCAATATTTTTATTCATGTATTTTGTGTCGAAAGTCTGCCTAAATTCCAATCCACGCCCAGGCTTACCTCATTAAAACACGACACGTTCAGTGACTATGGACAAAAGTGAAATGAAGTGTAGCTTGATTCCATTCAAAAAAAAAGATAATAAATGTATGCATATCAAATGACTTGTTGAGGGTTTTGTGATATAAACAATCGGCCTAGTTAAATGAAGGAAACAGTAAATGAGGTGAGGATGAGAAGTATGGGTAAATTCTTTGTGGAGAAATGATACGGTCCATCCTGTTTCTCTTACTTTTCGCGACCTCTGAGGAGACAGGAGAAGAAAAGGGTACGTTTTTGAACTATATATAGATTTAGAAATCATAAATATATATTTACATTAGAGGTGATTCCTCTATAAGAAATAACAAGTTCACATCCTTATGAACTACTGCAGATGAAGTTTATCAATTAATTAGTCATACCATACCAACTACAACTGGGAAATGCATACTTTTTTATTATTGGATTAATAAAGAAAAGTTGAAATGTAAATGTTAGTACTAAAATTCAGTTTTAAAATTGTTTTAAAAGTTTATCAGGATTTGACTTGATACTTGACTTGATACTTTGACTTAAAAAAATGCATATTTTTTCATAAAACAGCTCAAATGCTCTTCGTGAACTACCTGTACTAAGTATGACTGGGTAAAAGTTTCATGTCTTATAAAACTAAAATACATTTCATAAGGAAATAGTTCAGTGCAGAGTATGAGCACTTTTAAAGTTGCAACATATTTTTCAGATCTCGTTTTCGTTCTGAACACTCCTTTGATGATGTCAGATACAGACTTGTCCAATGCCGTGGATTTTATTTATAACATCACAGATCGTCTTACTATAGGACCGACAAACACGTTAGTGGCAGCTCTCACCTACTCAGACCGATCAACTCAACACTTCTCGCTAAATTCCTACCCCACTAAGGGAGCTGTTCTCAGTTCTCTCGCTGCTCTGAAGTCCGTCAACAGAAGTCATGATAAATCTAACCCGAACGAGGCTCTGGAGACTGTGAGACTAACAACATTGAAGGGATCTCGGGCCAGTTCCTCAAAATTCGTTGTTCTTATAGTTATGCAGGGACCAGCTGCAGATAGTAGAACGACGACTAAATGGGCAGCGGAGGATTTGTCAGCTGATTATAAAGCAACTCTTGTGACACTTGGACTGGATTCCTTGAGTGACAGTGATAAATATCTAATGACTTCAATAACTCAAGATGAATCAAAGACATTTTATGTCATTGATTTCAAGTTCAGTTGTAATGTCATTCCAAATGTCACCAATCTAATAGGTAGGTTTGAGGAATTTTTCTTGTATGCATAGCTTTATATTGTTTGGACAGTATTTTCTGGAGTTAATATTCGTTTTCTTGGCGTCCACCTGCTTTCGAACGTTTTTTCTTTTCAGTTCAAAAATCCAAAACAAACTCTACCCTCCTCTTCAATTCAAAGCCCAAGCCCGCATGCAAGCATATTTTCAAGGACGAATACATAGTTCTTTGTTAATAATATGCTTAGATTGAATTCATTACAAATATGCTTAGATTGAATCAATTACAAATTAAAAGTAAATCATATACGCATATATATTTTCATGAGATAAGCTCTTGAAAAAAATCTCTCATTGGCCTTTGACTTTGACCTTTGAGATTTGACATTGAGTCAGAATGAGTAGGACTAAATGATGACATAGGATTTAACCCTAGCTTCTTCACATTTCTTCTTGGAATCTTGATATTAATTAAAGACCGTCAACAGGTTTTGGAAAGGGGTGCGGAGGAGCGCCTTGAATTTCATGAGATAAGCTCTTGAAAAAAATCTCTCATTGGCCTTTGACTTTGACCTTTGAGATTTGACATTGAGTCAGAATGAGTAGGACTAAATGATGACATAGGATTTAACCCTAGCTTCTTCACATTTCTTCTTGGAATCTTGATATTAATTAAAGACCGTCACCAGGTTTTGGAAAGGGTGCGGAGGAGCGCCTTGAATTTCTTCTCCTAAACCAGATTTTTTTTTTTTCAAAAGGGTACCATTATCGTGGGATCTGGTACATGGCAAAAAATATTTAGCTGTACTTTAGAATGACGAAAATTGAAGTTATTTTATTTCAAAAATAACATTTTCCAGATTTTTTCTTTTCAAAAATGGGGATGCGATTCCACCACTACTTCTGATGATATCTAAATCATCATATGATTAGGCATTCTGGTGGCAAATTGTGTTTATCTTTTTTCTCCTCTTCCATGATATATAAAGATAACGAACAGTATTCAAGCTCATAAGTCCATTTGAACAAATTCATATTAATCAGAAGCAGAGCAAACACAGACATTTAAAACATCAGAGGTGGATTCAGGTGCTATGGAGGAGTGAGCATCCCTTGCCAATCGGTGACACACGCCGTGTGCTCCTTGTAATGATCAGGAAAAACGTAAAATTCTGTAGGTTATTTAGTTTGTAATGATCTAACAATTAGTACGAAAAACATCAGTCAGCATTTGACATAATGTTGGATTGTATTTGCTGACAAGGTCATTGTATCGACCATAGAACTTGCGATATGATGACTTAAAACGAGACTGTTATTCTTCTTTAAGGGTGAATTAAAAAAAAATGACCACCAAACTGAATTTTTTTGGCAAAATTCAACTAATTATAACATATTTTCACTTATATCATCATATTGCAAATGCATTCTAGTTTAAAATCCTGAAGTGGCAATAGAATAGACAATTGGATTAAAAAGTTTCAGAATTTTTATTAGTAAAACTTCTTTTGAAAAAAGAAAATATCATTACACCTTAAAAGACTTTCTAAAATACATAATCACAAGAAATTATAGTTTTTTATGCTTCAAAATCGTAAAAGGGGTATAAATGATTAATCTAGACCTTGAATGAGTATCTTCTCTTGTAGATGTGACAAAAAATTGGCTTTTTGATTGTTATTTTACATTATTTTTTCAATTCTGGTTTGAAAAGTTTTAATATGAAAAAAATATGAAGCAATAAAATTCCCGAAAATTCACTTTTTTGTCCGTTCAAGTCAATTCTTTAAATCTAAGCCAAAAAAGAATTGTTATAAACAAGTTCTCTTACGAAAAATACTAGATTTTGAAGTGACCCTATGTTACATTATTGTGTTGCACTCCTGACATCTGATATGTATTTTATTTAACATTGTTTTAAAAATTATAACACACAATAACCCATTCTTACTTTGTAAATCAATTTGTCGTGTTGATATTTTTCATCGTTTACAGCAGGTTTTTCATATTTTGAAGACCTTAAAACATGATTATTTGCAAAGTGTAATATATATATATATATATATATATATATATATATATATATATATATATATATATATATATATATATATATATATATATATATATATATAAATTGTATTTAAAATAAATGTGAAATGATGAAAGCTATTCCCCGAATTGACTGTAAAATTTCTGTAATTTGTTGATAGACATAGTGTTTTGAACATCAAATAGTATGAAGCATTTTTTTTAACTTAATTTTTAGTAAAGATAGTTAAAAAGCATCGGTAATTATGAAGCAGTTTTGTTGCACTCCTGACTGCTGTAAAGTTTAAAATTAAAACCATAGAACACAAAAATTCATAAAGTGTTGGCAACATCAAGTGGTAATGAAATTGTGCAATACTTATAGTCCAATACTTCATAATTAAAACAGATGAAAGTATTTAAAATTCGCATTTTATCTGGAATTATACCCTATTTTATGCCAAAAAACTAGCTTAAATGTATATTTAGAAGATAAAATATATTTAAAAGCATACTTTCCTTTAGAAGACGAACACAGTAACCCATCAGAAAAATTCTACTCATCATTTTTTCTTGATTTTTATTCTTATTGGATGATTTATAATTCTAACATATTTGTTGCACTCCTGACCAAAAGCATGGGGCCTTTAAAGTAGAATTGTGAAGTGAAAATTACATAAGAACTTGTTCTGTTGTTTCAGTGAAGTTGAGGAGGAATTATTTGAATTATATGACAATGTTTTAGTGTGTTTATTTTTAACATTCATTAAAAAAATCACAAAAAAGATAAAAAACGCATCTGAATTGATAAAATTGAAAAAGGAAGGATTTTAATAATAAAACTGTCAATAATTTAGCATTAAATTATACAAAAAAATCATTATTAATTAATGAATACTTCTAAGCATGAATAGAAGTCTTTTCGTCACACAACTTGAATCTTTAAAAAAATGTGTTGCACTCCTGACCATAGAAATATGGATCTGAAGCACAGACAGATCCTGTAATTGATAAATCTATTGGTAAAAATGTTCTTTGTGTCTTTATTTTCCAAAATTAAAATCAGAAAATCATATAATGATAATAGTTTTTTCATGCTTGGGAGCAAAACATCAAATGTTGCACTCCTGACATTTTTGGGTATGCACATATACTTGACTCTCATTAATGCTGCTTGTGATTTATATAACATTTTTAAGTTTTAAAATGTATATCAGTTATTATTTTACACTTCCAAAATTCTTTTTTGTCTTAATTTTCTATCAGAATTTTACAATTGATGTTTTTATGGCAACACTACATTTTTTCTGTTGCACTCCTGACATGGTATAACATTTTTTAAACATCAGCCATGACCACAACTTGATTAAACAAAAGTTATGACAGTCCACATTTAAAGCTCAATACTTTGAATATTATCAGGAAAGTCTTTATTTTCAACATGAAGCATTATTTTTTATTTCACAGATCTCCAAAAAATATTGAAATTTCAAAATGTCACAAAAAGGTGTTGCACTCCTGACAATTTTAGCATCATTTTTGGGCATAACTTTTTTGTTAATTGAGATATCAATGAGATATTTGGCAGGTATTTAGACACTATCTAAAGACATATGTTGAGACATAGAAATCTATCTTCATTGCCTGTATTTTTAGTGTGGGTTGATAAATATGCGTTTGGTCATTTTTTTTTTTGAATTCGCCCTTAATCAACTTGTTTATAAATAACTTACCTTGTTTTAGAAATTGTTCATTCGTAGAACATGCTCTTATGTATCGAATCAACTGACAGGCATAAACTTCATATGCAGGTGGTAAGGGAATATTGCTGCATAGGTAAGGGAAGTTGATGATTGAAAAGTTCAAGTCATCACGTTTATTATAAAGCTTTGTGTTATAGCTTACCATTAACGTCTTTTTCGTATAATATCCAAATATAAAACAGATGTGTCAGACTCTGAGGTATCTTTTATTTCAAGCTCACTGGGATATATCGAGTCGACATATGAATGGAAATAGCTATTGTTAATTGATAATCTAAAGTGTGAATTTTAACAAAGCAAAAAAGGGTTAAATCAAAATATAGCTCAAGTTATTATTTACCATAGTCATAAACATTCGCTAAAGGAGAAAACGAGACGGTAGTTCAGATCCTCTGTAAATGGTGGTTCCTTAATGCATCAATCACAAGAATTTTATTGTGAATATACTTTTCTAGATGAAATAAATTTAAAATTTCATAAGTTGAATTACAATTAAGCAACTGTATCACTTACTCAGTTACTTCATTTTCTTCTGTGAAAACATTGCGTTACATTATGAGTTCTTCTTGCATTCTTTCCCGTAAATTTAAGGACCACAAGAAATAAATTCAAATGAATGAGCTTATTAATTTGGAATATATTCCTTGCTGTCCTTTATTTTACAGGGGCTTACAGACATTCATTTTGATCCAGGCTATATTAGGCCCTATTATCCCCATACTTAGAACAGGATTTGGCCCTTACCTTACAATAACGTCCAACTTAATTTTTTTCAGATTCATCAGCTGACACAAGCCCAATAATTAACTGCCCTGATCCCAATGCTGTGGGAGCCACGACAACGCCAGTGAATGATACTAAAGGTAGAACTACGGTCCATGTATTCTGTATTAAATTGCTAAACGACATCATTACATAATAAAGAAAAAATTAACAGACTTCACAATTTACTGTTTATAGATGCATGATGGTTTCCTGCATTTAATTTAGACGATCATGTACTTTTTCGACGAATAATTTGCCTTGTGACATTTTTAATTGAAGTAAATAAGATTAAAAATGATTGATAAATTTTTCAATAATTGAATGGTATAGGTAACATATTTGCTTTCGGTGATTTTCAAGGTTACTTTAATTTTACATGATTTTTAAGAAATTTGTTATTATTATTTCCTCAATTAACTTAATCTTGAGTGCACGATTTTAGAAGGAAACAGATGTTGCAGATAAACATTTACGAAAAACTTTACTAACAATGCCTAGAAGAATTTAAATGAGGTTCTAATTTTCTTCATTTTGTCCAGCAATTTAAATGTTTTCTCTTATTGAACTCTGATTTGTTAAAGTACACAACAATCTCTGATTCTTATCTTTTCAACACCTGATTAACGTTCTATTGATGTTATAGCAAACTTGATCGGTCGGGCTCGACATTGAGGTTGACAGAGCCTCCATTTCACGAGATCAGTCTACCGAAATAAATAATTGACATATTCATTGGACCCTGGCTTTTGACTTTTGACGACGCTGTCTTTGTTTAATTTTTTTGTTATGGATATCAAATCTTTTTTGGGCTTTTCATGTATATTTTCAAGTACACTGCATATGCCTTTATGTAATTAAAGAAAGTGGTCTATAGCATTTTTCTGACTTGTTTCATTGAGCTGTCAAAACTCTCAGAACATTCTGAATCATGATACAACTGTAATTAATTATAAAGAATAGATATCCTCGCTTTTAGGATAAGATTTTATTTCAAAAAAGAAAAGAAACACAAGTTTGTAGTTGCTGTTTCATTATTTCTAAGTTGGGATATGACACTTTCCCAATCGGACTCCTCAGTTTAATGATAGACTGTAGCAAAAAAGGGGGGGTGTAAAGAGATTTTTATGATTTAACATACTTAAACTTGTTCCTTAATCATTAATTTGATTAATATCCTAAGAACAGTTTTCTCAAAATTTTTCCAAGACGTTTGTTTCACCAAAAGTTCAGTTAAGGACTTTTCAGAAGAATTTCAGAAAACATATGTCATTAATTTTACCTTATCAGGATTGTCTTTTTAAAAGAACAACCTCCCCATCGACTCCATGCTGTCGTACATTTACAATATGACTTCTTCATCCAAAAATAATTAATGTTTTTGGGGTATTCAATCTTCTTTCAGATGATTCCCTGCTTTTGGTCGTCATTGGTGCCCTAATAGGGACCCTCATTATCCTTGCCCTTCTGGTCATTGCTTATAAATGTGTCAAGGGGAACGCAGAGAAGGACCTCCGTGTTCTGAAGGCTATAGAGGTGTACGGAGAGGCCCGGTTTGGAACATCTAAAGAAGCCTTCTGTCACGAGGAGTTCGGGGGGTCCGGTACGGTAGGGAAGGCGAAATCCGACAATACAGAAGAGATCAAGTCAATGTACAGTACGCGGCTGTTCCTGGCCCGAAACTTTGCAAATGGACAAACCACTACGTTCAGCAATAACAGATGAAGCTATGGTCAATCCAGCAATGAGATAAATACGACCATGGTGGTTTTACAGAATGATAGAGAAGCATATGATTCACATAGTACAATGCTGCATTTACAATAGTATAATAATAATTATATAATATGAATGCAGTGTGTGTATATTCACTATGGTGTTCATAATGTACAAGATATATATACACATACATATACATATATATATATATATATATATATATATATATATATATATATATATATATATATATATATATATATATATTCATGTATTCACGGTCTCGGAGAACAAGCATTGCATACAAGCATGCAGAAATTTAATGCAGAATTCCAGAAATTTGTTAACTGTTTTCTTAGCTGTATTCCAAATTTCAAAGGATAAATTAGATTGATTTTAGAGACTTTGCAAGATTGTTAACTTCGGCTCTCGGAATCAAATCGTGAATCTTGTTTAAAAGTCGTGTCTTGAGTTGGGGTTTTTTTGTGACTTTCTTGTGAGTGAATATTTGTTCAGTTAACTTCTTTAAACATTAACAGGATCAAAGAAATAGAAACAGCCTATATAAAAAAAAATGATAGTTAAAGGCTGTACACAATGTACCACTAATTAAGATGGTAGTCACATACTTATAAGCCGTGTCGGTAAATACTGATTTATATGATCCAGTGTTAAAATTACTTCAATTGCAAGTAGGAAAAAACTTTATTACACTGTTTCATTTTCAAATAAAATCAATTTATCAAGAGTCTTCTTGTTTGTATAAAACTCACTGTTCTTAAAGGAATACAAAATTTGTATTTCAAAGGGAAACCGGTATGTAAGAGCTTTAAGCTCAGAGAAATTAACTTTGTCGACTAATTTAAATCTCCAACAATCTGTCGATCTATGTTATTTTATCAGAACTCCTTCAGAGCTTCTAGTATCAACCATTTCTAATTTTAAAAAAAATCCTTCTCCGGTATAGCTGTGAATTACTAAAAATACGCACCACATCGTGTTTGTTTGTTTGTTTTTTCTAACAGTGGAATAAACAAGCAGGTAAATATTCAAAGTGCTTATCTCCCTCATTTTAGCCTGATTCTTATGCATGTTTATAGATCTATATATAATTATAATTTCCTTTATCATCTGTTCCGACTGATATTGAACTTTAGATCACTTGTAAATGTCCCAATTTTAAAAAGTATAATTATGATATCAATTACTAATTACATATATTGAAATTGTACAAAACTCCATTGTCACTTTTTTTTTTTACTAGAACAAATATTAATTCGAGAAAAAGCATTATTTTTCACATAACATAATATTAGAATGGATTTCATATACTCGTTTGGTAGAAACAAATTGAGGCTATAATTTTTATCATACTGATGGAGTACTTACCTTAAACTTATGTTTAATTTTTTTAACATACCGGTGTTAGTATTAATATAAGAATTGTTTCTTATGTAAGTGACTTCGGTCTATCACAGTTTATTCCATCTGAGGTATCCAGCAAAAGTAATTGATTACGCGCACTTTACACGACAGACTTAAGTATCCTTTTTGCAGTGAGGGTTCCTTTTATTATTTCATATTTATAATGTGTTCAAATCGAGAGAGACATGAATAACAAATAATAAATTATTAATGTCTGAAAGAGATTTTTTTTCAATTCATTTTTTTTTTTTTTGATATATCTATGTACACAAGATTTTGTTCACTTGCGAAATTTGGAAAAAAGTTAATTTGATAGCAATTGTTTTGAGGGAAAAAATTGTACATGGATGCTACTGAGAAGGCAAACTCATCTTGAATTTGAGTAATATCGAAAACAGAGATATAACAAGTAGTGTAGTAAAGTTTTACATTAAACGATAATTTAATTTTACAAAACTTATTTTCGTCAAGCCAAGGAACTCGGCATAATCTATCCATAAACTTCCTTTTATTATCATGAGTAGAGCTTTTTTTTCAAACTTCAAAAGAATTTTTTTTTATTATTAAAAAAAGTGAAACAATTCCAAAATAAAGCCTTGATTACAAAATATTAATTAAGTGAATACCTTTACTTTTATTGGACTGTAGAAATGAAATACAAAATTCTAGTTAAAATAATGGTATTTGTAGATCATGTGGTGTAGTTTGGTTTATGTTTATTCAACATTTGCGGATTACATTTTTCTTAAACATAGGTTTCGACACACTTTTTACCTAAGATTAACTGAATTTGACGATTCTAGGTCTAGTACTAACAATGAAAACGGTACCAAAAACTTCACAATTTGATTTAACTAAAATATTGTAATTAAATCTGCACTGATTTTTAATGTTTTAATAAACTTTACGTACTCTCTCTCGAATTTATTTCATGCGTCATCATACTGTGATCAAGTTTATGAATTTAACCAATAATTCTTATTTTTCACATCACATAAAGTCCAAGTATCTCCTCCACACGCGTGTGAATGGACTATTGAGTGGTCAGAGTGTTTTTTGACAAAATGCTTATATCATTCTGAAGTAAGAGCCCTCATAACCAGAAGGGGGAATTCAGTATCCTCTCTTCACTACAAAAGGGGGTTTTAACTTTTAATCTTCATGTCATTGTCGCAAAGGACAAGGAGGGGTCTAAATGATGTTTAAATTACTTGGTAACGGTTCTGGTATATAATTTCTGGTAATTATTCCACTTACACGTATTACAAACCGTACGATCAAGTGACCGAAAAATCAACATTTCAATATTTATTCAAGGACCAAATATTGGTTATTACGATTTTTACATTGAGTGTATTGTTGAACACAAATAGTTTACATGATAGAAACATGTTTCTTACGAGTTATTTAGGTATTATTATGTTGACGGGTAAACAGCGTTCAATCAAGAACTAATAATCATAATGGTATATCCAGGCCTTTGTTACGCCAAAATATAACGGTCACACGATATACCCCTTTAGAAAAACCTTTCTCTTTAAATTCAAAATATAGAAACTTTTTGACAGGAAAACAAAGGTGCCCCCAGAGTCGCTAGAACTCGTCAAATGATCAATGTTTCCTGAGGAGTCGGTTCAGTTAGAACAAGAAAAACAATCACACAGTCCCCCGGTTGTGGCCGGGAAACTGACCTGGAACGATGTGGGTGTTAGCTGTCCTCTTCCTGGCATCTGTCACATTCTGTATACAGAACGGTCAGTCTTTTAAGACTAGATTAGATTTTCTGTTTGCAAAAATTCAAAAGTACTTTTCCTGTCAATCTGTTGAATAATTAAATATGCAGAAATACTGTAAAAAAAAAAATTAAAGCTGAAACTGCTAAAATAATCTTTAATTATATTGGATTAATTTTTTTTTTTTTTTTATTTATTTATTTATTGTTTGTATTTTAAAATATTTTCTTCAAGTTTACGCTTAAATCAATAAAGTATGGTATAAATATTTCTGTTTTTAAATGATATTTTGCACAGACCTTATTTTGGTTTTAATATAATACCTTTTTTGGTGTCTATTAGTTCAAATAAAACATGAAAGTGTTCCATATGGTTTGAAATCTAAAAAAACAATTTTCATTTCAGATATTGTTTACGTGATTGATATCTCAGGAAGTCTTTCTCAGTCAGACCTGAATTACTCAGTTGATTTTCTCGATGACATCACACAATACCTAACCATTGGACCTTCCGACGTTAAAATATCCATAGTAACATTTTCGAATGTTTCCACGATACGGAATGATTTTACCTCCTTATCTAGCCAGGCTGACGTTATTACTGCATTACAGAGCCTGAAATCGCTAACCACTGCTGGAGGTACGAAAACCTACCTAGCACTAAATGATTCCTACGATCTTCTGACGTCGGGTACAGGTGGCATGCGTAGTGGCGTTAACAAAACAGTAGTGGTTCTTACTGATGGAAGGTCGGACAATCGATTGCATACAATTGAGGCTGCAAACAATCTGCACGACAACGGGATTGAAGTGTTTTCTGTAGGAGTTGGGAGCGAAGTCACGTACGACAAGACTGAATTGTACGACATTGCAAGTGATCCCGACTCCCATTACCAGCATGACATAGAGGATTTTACCTATCTGTGCAATGTGGTTCCCGCACTTGCTGTCAAATTGGGTAATTTGATTAAAAAGCTGTAAAATAAACCTGTAGGATAAATTTCCTTCGTGAAATTGATTGAATTGTTATTTCTTTTTAAATCAGTCCTTTTGACTTTGACTTTTTTAACTGAATCTACTTTTTAAAACTTTTTTTTATAGATCCAAGTCTGACCGCTATTACTTTGCCTCCTGACTGCATGACAACTACAACTACGACTGCTAGCCCGAAAAAGAAGAAAGCAACTGAGGCACCAACAACTCAGACCACCACCACCGAAACCACCACTGTCACTGAAGTTACAACTACAACCACAGAAAGCCCAACTACAACCACAGAAACCACAACAGAAAGCACCACCATAACATCTACTGTTACCAGTACTCCAGCGACAACTGTTACCACCACAACCTCAGCTGTAACTAGCGGTGCCGTGACAACTCTTACTACAGATACCACCACTTCCGCTAATGGGACTGCTGGGAGTTCTCAAAGCCAGAGATCTGTCGCTAAGGATGACTCTTGTATGTTTTTTTTTTCATCACAGTTGTTTATGCATTTGAAAAACAAATACGTTCGCAAATACAAAGTTTGTTTAAATAATGTTCGATTTCATTTATTTCATAAGTTGATGATACCTATCTAATTTCAGCGGTATCCATTCCTATCATCGTTGTTGGGGCTACGGCTTCTCTCCTTCTCCTCTCCTCCATTCCTGGGGGCTATTTCCTTTACAAGGCCGCCTTAAGGAGAAAAATCCATCAGGAGGAAAAGGAAGAGGAAGTCAGAAACGCTATACTGCCCTATCAGAATTCGTTACCCAAGCATCTAGGCCCTGGAAAACCAGCTTGGCAAACCTAGTTTTACCGAAATAGAGGCCTATTCGTTGTGAAAGTATTCGGTGCTAGTTTGAGGATACTGCTGTGATAGCATATTTATAAATTATACAGGCTTTTAGAAAGCTGGTGACAATCACTTGAAATGCAATTTTTCCAAGAATAAAAGATGCTACTTGTTAACTAAAATCCGAATGGTTTCCGCCAAGAAAATGTATTTTTCAGGACATTATCGTCAAACAAAATGTTAAAGGCCGGTGAAGATTCAGAACACCACCAGTTTGGACATATGACGTATTACAAATTATTTCATCAACATTTATCTTGCTTTGGCAACCCTCTGCACCGCAATGTGTTGGCTCTCAGATGTTGCATGATCTTCAGTATTAAAATAATCTGCGATAGAACCCGTAAAGTTGACCAGTAAATGGTCATTTATTACATAATGCGGAATCATTAATTTCTTGAGTTCAGTTTTCGAGGATTTTTGTGGTTACCCCTTACCCTGGAAGAATTTTGATATAAAGGAATTGTCCTCCATAATGAGACCCTCCAAAAAAATTAACGTGTCCACGTCTGCAACCTTATAGCAATTTCCCAAATTGACCCACATGAAATAAACCGAGTCAGTTCTACAACTTGTAATCATGTACATTATTTTTGTGTTACATCTGTGACAAGGTTTAATTTTTTTTTAAATGATAAAAAGTAAGAATTCTGCTCAGACATTAGCTCTATCACGAAAAAAATCTAGTATTCAGGTACTTATGGCGATGCAGTATAAGTAAAAGTCGTGATTTTAAAAAAAAAACAACATTTTCCAATGAAAATGTAATTTGAACGCGCATATTGAAGTACATTACACAAGCATACTGGTAAAAATGATTTTGTAAATATTTTTAATCGAAAAATAATGGATAAATACATGGAACATTCTTCGACAAATTTTTGTAATATTATTTTGTAACAAGGTCATTGTATCGACCATAGAATTTGCGAAATGTTGACATTAAATGTTGACTTTAGAACTGTTGATTTCCATGCATCATCAACTTATTTGTCAGTAGCATGCCTCATTTAGGAATTGTCTTATCTAGTACATGCTTTTGCAAATCATCTGGGAGACATTAACTTCATGTGCAGGTTATAATGGTACATTGCTACCTAAATAAGGGAAATTGACGAAAGTAAAGTTGAATTCATCGCGTTTATCGTTTAGTTTAGTAATGAGGTTGCCATTAATGTCTTTTTGTATTAAAATATCCAAACGTGAAAGAGATGTATCAGACTCTACGATATCTCTTATTTCAAGTTCAAAGGGATATATCGATTCAATGTTGGAATGAAAATGAATATTGTTATTTTATTAAATATTGTCGATGTATCTACTCGTATATGTCGAATTGAAGGCCACAGAAAGAAATTTCTTCTATTTTTTTAGAAGTTTTAGAATACATTTTGCTTCATATGAATACAAAAATAGGTCGACTAATAATGGGGCGCTATTAGTACACATGGGAATCGCAATAGATTGTTGAAAGACTTGATCTCCAAAAACTATAAATATTGTCAATCAGAAACTCAAACATCTTGTAAATATCAACTTCAGAGTACTTTTTTGTACAGAGTGTTTTTCAACCAAAATAATTTTGCAAATGACCAATTATAAGTATGTAAATTAACTAAATTCACAAGTTCCATTTTTTATTTTTTAAAAGAGCAGCTATGATGTCAAAACGTCTGGACTTTAATTTATCGTGGGGAATGATCGTACTAAGTGTTGAAAAGTCGTACGATTCTGGTAAAATTTTGTGATTGAATTTTTTCTAAATGTTCCTTGGAGTTTTTAAGCATTCCATTTTTAATTAAAGAAGCAGTAACATATGATATCGAAAAGCCTAATCTTTATTTTATCGTAGGAAATGGTAGTGTGTAGAAAAGCGTACGTTTTGTTGTTAATGACTTTTGAAAAATTTTGTTATTTTAAATTTTATAAATTTTTTTGGCTTTTTTGAGAATCCATATGATTTTCATCACTTCTAGAATATGCTGCAGAATAGTACGTGGAAGGTTCTCCTTTACAGCAGTTAATATTTTTGTAAAGCGCAAAGACAGAGGTCTTGAGCATTTGCTGGACCCGGTATTGTATCTTTGTTTGTAAGGAGTTTCTGAAGTTTAGGAATCCAGTGTAGGTAGGGTAGATCGAACTCACTTTGGTTGACCGGAATGTCTAAAAAATTAAACACTTTAAAGTGATTTTGAAGAATTTCATCCTTTGAAAGTGAATTATGGGTTTCCAGATGTAGAATTAAATCAAGTTTAAAATACAGTTAGAAAATTGAGTCTTATACAAACAAAATAATATTGTTGCAAGCTTTGTATGATGAAACCATAATATTGTTTATGTAGTCTTTCTAATTCTTTTAACTCTTGCGATTTAATGATGGTTAGTTCGCATATTATCTTTAAACTTTCTAACACGATTTTTAAAATACATTTCTAAAACACTTAATCCATTCCGAAAAAATGTTCAGGTCTTCTCCTTCATTTTTTTTTTTTTTTTTTTTTCTTTGCAACGTCCGGCATAATCTTCAATATAATTCATAATAGAAATTAAGTTCTGTCGCCAATTGAAAGATCGGTCTTCCCCATAGTTAGGTCTATTTAAAATGATTGCTTTTAGGCCGACACTTTTCACTTCACTTGCATATTAACGTCACCAAATGACGTGTCTAGCGGTACTTTAGTTGAAAGAAGAGGGCGAGCTTTAAAGGATTTTGTTTGAAATGTTCAATGTCTAGGCACTGCAAGGTTTGTTTGAAAATCTTGGAAGCAACAGTTTTCAGACAAATTTGCGTACATATAGAATGTTTATTAGTTAATCTAGAAAATATTTTATAAATAAAAATAATCTCAAATCATTTTTAAGTATTCTAATTTGACAAACAAAACAAATAAGAAGAATAAAATTCACTATCATTGATATCCTATTTTGACATGGCTTCGACGTGGAAGGGAGGTAATCTAAATAAATGTGCATATCCCAAGATTAAGCCCTATACATGGCTAATCCACTCTCTGATACTACTATTAGGGCTTTAATTTACAGTAATCCTCGCAATGAAATGACAAGTGGGTCATTGTTTTGCGTTAAACCTGTTAATTTTTAATCCATTATTGTTCACTGAAAATACAAATTGAACAGGAACTGCACTTCAGTGCCAAAAGTTTTCTTTGCTAGCAACGATGTCAGTTTGTTTTCTTTTTTGTATGTCTAAGAAAAGTGTCCTTTAAAATAATGAAAATCGGTTTTCTTTTGATCATATTTCATCTTGTTGGAGTATGTGCCATATATAAAGGTACGTTTAAAAAATCAAAACAAAAATGCGTTGACTTTGTCATACCATTTCTTTTATAAGACACAAATTTGATCTTCTTAGTAATTTCATATATTATCTTACCTAAAACGACTGAAATACTTCCTTTTCAACGATTTCCTGCTTAACATAATACGTTTTTATCACATTTAAGGCATTTTTAAATATAAATTTCAGTTTGTTATAATATTAACTTGACCTAGAACAATTTTAATGATGACCAGGTATATTTTTAACATCTCGATCTCTAGCTGTGAAGACTGTGAAGATTGTTTTCTCTCTGTCGTTTTTGGGTTATTAACAGACCTGAGAGCACGTGATGATTCGCATCATTGTCGAAGCCTTTTGTACAATTAGCATTAAACGTGAATATAACAAACAGTAATCATGCTCAAAAGTCCATTTAAACAATACAAATTAGCGCAAACATGGATCTCTGAAAACAGAGGTGGGATCTGATGTCATGGAGAAGTGATCATCCCCTGTCAATCCACGCCGTGTGCACCTTGTCATGATGGGATGAACGGAAAAATTCAGCGTTAAAAAAATGACCTTTCAATTTGTATGAAAAATGAACATTAGACCTAACGACGGATTGTAAGATAAAAATTGAAAGCGTTCCTGTCGATATCCTTGTATCTGACATCAAAGTATTTGTTAATACTCTGTCCTGTTTTAGAAATCGATCGTACGTATCGAATCAACTGCAAAACATAAACCCCATATGCAGGTGATCAGGATATAACCGAAGCACAATTAATACCCTTGGGAATTCCAACAGATTGTTAGAAGACCTGATTTCCAAAGATAACAGAGATATTGTCAATCAGAAACTCAAGCATCTCTTTAATGTCTTCTTTGGAGTATCTTTGTGTAGAATCAAAATGTGTTTAACAAAATAAGTTTGCAGATGACCAATGCCTAGCAATATACCATTATTACCTGTATATGGAGTATACGTCTCCCAGTAGATTAGATATACGAGAGCATGGTCTACGTACGAATAATTTCTAAACGAGGCAAGCTATTGAAAATTGAATTAATTTGATGATATGAGGATATCAACAGTCCCGTTTAAAGTCAACATTTCGTAAATTCTATGGTCGATAAAAACGACTTTGCTAGCAAATACAATCTATCGTTAAGTCGAACGATGAAAGAATTTTTATTAATTTTTATTAATAGCTTTTTCCCTTTTGCTTGATCATGACAAGAAGCACACTGGGGATGTGACCGATCGAATGGGGGATGTTTACTCCTCCATGGCACATGATCCCACCTCTGATGCTTCAGAGGTCCGTGTTTGTTCTGCTCAAGGATTGTATTGTTCCAATGGACTTTTGAGCTTGATAACTGTTTCTTATCTTCATATTTCATAAATCATTCCCCTGGACAAATTAAAGACCAGGCTTTTTGATATCATAGACAAATGTTTCTTCCATAAAAATGAAAACCTTAAATTTTGATACATAGATATGGAAGCTGAAGATAGAAAAATTGAAGTCATCACGTTTATCGTAATTTTTTGTTTTTAATTTACCATTAATGTAATGTTCTAGTATAAAATCCAAATATGAAACAAAAGTGTCAGACTCTGTTGTATCTTTTATTTCGAGTTCACTAGGATATATTGAATCAACATAAGAATGAAAAGAATATTGTTAAATTGATAAAACGTCGTTGATATATCTAATTGTCGAATTGAAGGCCACAGGAAGAGACTTCTTTTCATGCAGACGTCTCGATAAAAATCTGCTTCGTATGAATAAAAAATAGGTCTGCTAATAACATGGCGCAATTAGGACCCATGGGAATTCCAACAGATTGTTGGAAAACTTGATCACCAACAACGATATTGTCAATCAGAAACTCAAGCATCTTTTAAATATCAACTTCAGAGTGCCCGTGTATACAATCAGATTGTTCTTAACGAAATAATTTTGCAGATGGCCAATGACAAGATATGTTAATTTACGAATTCCGTTTTTATTGAAAAAGCAGCTGTCTATGATGTCAAAAGTCTGGACTTTGATTTATCGTGAGGAACGATAGTATAAAGTGTTGAAAAGTCGTACCTTTTGATGTGATTTATTTTGGTCAGATTTTGTGTTTTTAAGTTTTCTAAAGTTCCTTAGAGTATCGAAGTATCCACATTTGATTAACACCTCTTCTCGAATATGTTGATGTGCAGTCCTTCTGAAGTTTCTCCCTCACTGTTGTTCATATTTTGATTGGGAGTAAAGAAAGAGACTTCATAGAACATTAACTGGAACCCGCTATGTAACTTTGTTTGTAAGGATTTTTATGTAATTTAGGAATCCAGTATAGGTATGGCAACTTAAATTTAATTTGGTTGTTGGGAATATTAGAATTATTAAAAACTGATATAGGGTTTTGAAGGAACTATAAGTTGGATTAACACTTGTGAAAAAAATTAAATCCAAGTTCCTCAAAAATGCAAGTTATAATGAGTCTTACAACAAAGACTGTGTTACCTGCTTTGTCTGCCGAGGCCAATACATATTGATTATGTCATCAATCCAATGTTGTATAACAATTATTTCTTAATTTCCGAAGACAGATGGATGGATGGTTTTTATACTGCCCCTCAACCGTTTAACGCGAGATTTCAACATCCACTTTACACTTTTAATCCATACTGAACAAAGTGAGTTTTAAAGTGTCAAGGTATTGTCTTTCATATTTGACCCATCGCCTGGCATATTCTTCGACAGATTCATTATATTTTTTGTCGAAAGTGAAAAGGTCGAGGCTCATGAAACTTTGTTACAATTCTCTCTAATAAATGTATTTATTTATGGGATATACAGTTTAACTTCAAAGTGTTCACTCTAATAAAATTAATTATTTATTACGGACTTTTACAGTGAAATATATGGAGATAACGAACAGTATTCAAGCTCAAAAGTCCATTAAACAATACAAAATAGTAGCAGAGCAAACACGGACCTTCAAAACATCAGAGGTGGGATCAGGTGCCATGGAGGAGTAAGCATCCCCTGCCGACCGGTCACACCCGCCGTGTGCTCCTTGTCATGATCGGGAAATAACGGAAAAAGACTAAATATTATTATTTATTACAAATCGACAGAATTTAGCTTTAAAGTCTGTCTAGATACTAATGTGTAAAATTTACGCAACATCAAACTGATATATCATCAACTATTATGGCATTTAAAACGTTGCATTATTATACATTTTTTGTTATTCTTATTTAAAAATAACATTCTTATTCGATAAAATGTGAGTCCTATTCGATAAGTTATTATTCCTATTCGAAAAAAATGTTCTTCCTATTCGATAATCATGTGATTTATATGCAATAAACTAGTTATTCCTATTCGAAAACATACGATTCCTTTTCGAATAGAAATGGTATGTTTTTCAACAGGAATAACATGTTTATCGAATATAAATCATTTAATTATCGAATAGGAATGACAAAATTATTGAATAGGAATCACATCTTATCAAATAGGAATGATAGTTTTAGAATAAGAATAACAAAATTTTGGAATAGGAATAACAAAAAAATATATAATAATGCAACGTTTTACACGCCATAAACTATGAATTAAAAAAATAATTTTTGTATGCATTTGTTCTTAAAACTAAGAAAATTTTGGGTGAACACTTAGAAGTTTGGTTCAATGTATATGTTTTTACTCAAACTACGTCAATCGGCGAGATGTCGGACTACATATATGCATACTTTTCGTTCCTTTCATTAAACACTTTTTTATCATTTTCCCTTATCTAATTCAAATATTGACCAACATTTCTGACGTAATGATAACCATATTGTTTGTTTGTTTGTTTGTTGTTTAATGTCCCTCTCGAGAATTTTTCACTCATATGGAGACGCCAATATTGATCAACATTTCTGACGTAATGACCATATTTATCAATAACAGTTCAGATGTCACACAAAAGGCGTTACAGTTACGAGGGCATAACCCAGGATTTTTCTATTATGGACAAAACATCGATAAATGTAAATATACAAGATGTCCATCGTGTCATGAAAGTGCACGATCATGCTGCACTTATGTCCCTTTTTTTTTTTAAAAGTCTAGACTTTTACTCAGGTAGGTTTACTTCCTGAGTCCAGTCATTGAGAATTTAAATCAGATAGTGTGCTTGTGATTTAATGAAATTTTGAATTATTAATTTCTTTTTAATTAGATATCGTGTTAGTGATCGATACATCTGACAGCGTGGACGCAACAGATTTGGAGGAAGCCATAGACTTCATCTATAACGTCACAAAATGGATAAAAATAGGTACTCAGGACATTCAGGTGGCCGTGGTAACTTACGCAAGTGACGTCAAAGAGCAGTTTGACTTAGATGACTATGTTGTAAATTCTACATTACTGAACGCCATTGAACAGCTAAAAACAACTCTAAGGACAGGGGGAGGAACATACACTTTCGACGCCCTCACCTACGTCAAAACTACGTCATTTCTTTCCATGCGTGGTGCCAGAAATAACTCCATGAAAGCCGTTCTAGTGATGACAGATGGGCAATCAACGAACTATCCTCTAACTGTAAGAACAGCCAATGATCTGAGGTCGGATTTAAATGCAGAAGTGTTTGCAATCGGGATCGGGAGGGATTCCAAAAGGAATCCTGAGATTCAGGGGATAGCGAGCGATCCCGATTCTTATTACGTGTATTATGTAGACTCCTTTGACTATCTCTGCAGTGTCGTGCCGACCCTCGTACCAAAACTAGGTAAGGCCAAAATGCTTAACAGTACAGTTGCTGATTGTATGAATTTCAGAAAGCTTAGGTACATTAACTAATTATAATTAATAATGCATGTTTGATATTGAAATATTTAGATCCCGATGCTGGTCAGGGAATTTCCACTTGCCCGACAGAACCAGAGGTGACAACCCCCACAATAGGTAAGTTAATTCCTTTTAGTTTTCTAAATTATAGTAATATTTCTTATTTGTTTATTTTCTTTATTTTACTTTCAGCCAAGGCTTCTTCGAACTCTGATGTCATCATTGCTACCGTTGTAATAGTTGCAGTTGCGCTTCTTGCTGCCACTATTACATCCGCTGTTATCATTGAGAGATCCACGTATGTATTTCCTGGGTCTTACCATCTCTGATTAACTGATCGTGTCACCCAGTGCACAGATTGTGACTCTTGCATGAAATGGTTTATGGAATCCTAATTTCTTTTATTCATTTTATTTACTCATTTAATTGATTTAAAAACTTTTCTTTTAAGAATAAATATATTTGCAACACCTTTGAAATCTAAATTTGAAGGTAAAAATGAGATTCTTTCTTTTATGGACAGGCGCACTTCACCCTATTTGTCTCTCGAGAGCCAGATCTCCACCATTGTAAACCAGTATGGAAACGCACCTCTTGGGGAATCCCCATCTAACTTCGACTCCTCCCAACTTTCAAGCACACCAGACCTGGGACCTCGCGAAATAAATCTGGACATAGTGTCCCCCACTGATCTCCCTGCTCGTCTGGATCCACTCCCTATCCGCAATCTGGAACTACTTTAAAAACAAGAACGGGGATGAAACAGGATTGTGGTTGCTTTGTTGTAGAGGACTTGAAAATAACTGTTTGGACAATTTATGACTTTATCTAAAATACTGTAATTAATACTGTTAACAATATAGATAAAAGTTCATCAGTATGGAAAAGAATATTAGCTCACCTGAACCAGGGCATTAATGAACTTTTTCTTTTCAAAATGTTCACGTGTCTTTCAGCGTCTTTATCTTTTACAAATTTCAACTACTCAGTACTGAACCAATTAGCAAATTACACAAAGCATTCTTGTATATAAGGGTGGTCGTACTTTTTTCCAAAAAGAAGCTTCAATCCTCCTTCCAAAGGAGGGGGGGGGGGTAATAAATGATAGAAACAGGTTGGGCTTATTTAACAAAAACTTTCTAAAAACCAAAGGATCAGAAAAGACGGAACTTTCGTAAGACTTAAATTAATTGTTCAGTGTAGATTCAGATTTAACAAGTCGTAATTTCCTAGTCTTGGGTAGGCTACAATTAGAAGTTCAAGGTTTTGTCGGGTCGAAAGTATGAGGAGTTAGTCATCTTTGCTAGCCACGTGTCCGATTCGGATGATATCCAGGTGAGGGGATACGAATCGGATAAGTGGCTGGAGGCTGTAGTAGAATGGCCAAATGTATTCAGAAAAAAAAAATGTCTATGGTTGGACATAAATAAAGATTCCCTATAAAAGAATTTTGTTCAATATATGTCTGGGGATATCTATATATGTATCTGTGCTGTAAAACAATACACGAAATGCTATCTATAATCTTACAAGTATTGGAAGCATACATCTATTCGAAACATATGCGCACACAAAAGTAGAGAAAATTGACCGACTGTATCTTATAAAACTTTTTTTTTTCACATGAGTGTTTCTTCGCTCCATTTTATCCAAAGTACAAACTGCATATCTTTTACACTTAAAGGTCTTTATCATATTTTTTGACGACATAATTTTGTAAGGGAAGTGGGTACACTCTGTAAATTATTATCAGAATTTCAAAATTTGTTTAAATGCGATCAAACAGTGCTCACGTGATGATTTTTATTAACGCCGACAGTTATTTCTTATATTTTACATTTTTATCTGATCCTTGATTCAATTTTCAAAAAATTATATACTTACGTTATTTTTATATAGATAATTAAAAATCAAAGCCAAGTCGCGCCCATTTTTTTTTTTTTTTTTACTTTAGCGAAACACGGCGATAAGGCAGTTTTCTGTCACCTGATGAGCAAATGACTTTATGAAGATAAAAAGCTATAGATATTTTATCTCACACAATGTTAATATTTTGAAATAAATACACAATCGAAATCTTCTTCCATGTTCAAATTTTGTCAAATACAAGTTTATTTTGCAAAGTACTGGGCCAGGCACAGAGGTTTTATTTTAAATACAGCCAAAGACTGAGCGATGGTAATCTGACTACATACATCTCGAGATTTAGTGAAACGAAATTTCCTGGAAAAAATCCAATCGTTAACAGAGCTTAAAAATAGTGTGTTATTGTAATGCATATTTCTCCCAAACAGAAAAAAAATAGATCAGTGTTCCTATACAAGGGTTACAAATTTAACTGTACATGAATACGTGTGTATTTTTACACAGATTGTATAGTCAGGAATTTTTCCTTCTATTTGAAAATACACAAACTAATAAAAGCTTGTCGTTTCTCTCATTTTATGGAAAACGTCCGAGCTTTATTACTTCCTCAAATGATTATACATGAACAAATACTGTAGAAGTAATAATGTCGACATTATATAGTAACAATGTGCTTTAAAACATTTAAAAAATATATTTATTTCCACTCTATCTTTTTTCATTGTCATCTTTGATAAATGTCTTCTGCATAATCTATTGGTGAATTTGAATCGGGAAATTGTGATGTACAAATAAGACAACCAAAGAGTAAAATTTCCTTAGATTTTTTTTTTTTTTTTTTTTTTTTTTTTTTTTTTTTTGATACCCTATGAAAATCGACAGTGTTTACGTTACATCAAGCTATGTCGAGAATGTGATACACAATAAATATGTACTCACAAGATTCGAATTCACGTACTATAAGTACAGTACCCTGTGTTGCAGTTCTTATATAATCATTGTTAGAAGGGGAAAAGTATTCTACAGGTAAGTGTGAAATGTCTTTACAATGGGATAAAACAATAACCAAACAAAATAAGAAAAAAAAATATAGGGAAATATATGGAAATAAAGATAAGTATTCAAGCTCAAAAGTCCATTAAACAATACAAATTTTGGAACAGAGCAAACACGGATCTCTAAAACATCAGAGGTGGGATCAGGTGCCATGGAGGAGTGAGCATCCCCTGCCGACCTGTAACACTCGCCGTGTGCTTCTTGTCATGATCTTGAAATAACGGAAAAATCCGTCGACAATTCATTGTATCGACCATAGAACTTGAAATGATGACTTTAAACGAGACTGTTGATATTCTTGTTTCATCAACTTGTTTATCAATAACTTACCTCGTTTTAGATATTGGTCAAATGTAGAGCATACTCTTACGTATCGAATCAACTGAGAGATATAAACCCCGTATACAGGTGATAAAGGTATATTGCTGCATAAGTAAGGAAAGTTGACGATTGAAAAGTTTAAGTCATCACGTTTATCATAAAGCTTTGTTGTTAGATTACCATTAACGTCTTTTCTAGTAAAATATCCAAATATGAAACAGATGTGTCAGCCATTGTAGTATCTTTTATCTCAAGCTCATCGGGATATATCGTGTCGACATAAGAATGGAAATCAGGCGCGTAGCTGCCTATACGCAAGTACGCAAGTGCGTACACATCATTTTCCCCAAAAAATCTACCAGAGAGAGAGAGAGAGAGAGAGAAATTCAGAGAAAGAAAACCTCAACATCTGGCAAATATTTTTGTTTCAAATAATTTTTTTTTTTGGTCATATTTTTTCGAATAAAATTTTGCATTATCGTGTCTATACAGTCAAATTTGAAATCTGTTATTAAATCATTGCCAAATCCAAATAAATCATTCATTAGTTTGTAAATCTACTACATCGGATTGACAATTTTTAAAGATATTTGAAAAATTACATATTAATCAAATCATTGAATGGCTTGATCAAATAGTATATGATTTAAAATACAATATTTTCGTCTACTAACATTTATTATATACTTGTTGCTGAACTTCATACTATAAAAAAGTGCAGGTGATACCAATATATCGGTAAAATATCCAGCCTCAGGTACACATAAAAGTAAGTTTCCATGGAAGTTAAATTTTGCGTTAAAAACAATATTACTAAGTCTTTTATTTCTAAAGAAAAGCGAAACAGCATATTTCCTGCAAGAAAGTGACTGAAATATTTGGCAAAAACCCGGTAGTTTCTGGGGGCTTCGCCCCCTGGGCCCCCACCAGGACTTTGTCCTGGATCTACTGGGGGCACAGGGCGGCTCCCAGACCACCTGCCGTTCTCTGCGTACACTTCACTTCCATCCTGGCTACGCGCCTGGAAATAACCATTGTTAATTGATAATACGTCGTCGGTATATCTAAATGTCGAGTTGAATGTAACAGCAAGTGTTTTCCTCTTTTCACGTATAAGATTCTGAACAAATTCTGCTTCATATGAATACAAAAATAGGTCTGCTAATAACATGGTGCAATTGGAACCCATGGGAATTCCAATAGATTGTTGAAAGACCTGGTCTCCAAAAACCACTCAGATATTGTCAATCAGAAACTCAAGCATCTTTTTAATATCAACTTCAGAGTACTTGTGTGTACAATCAGAATGTTTTTAACAAAATAATTTTGCAAATGACCAATGACAAAGTAAGTAAATTTACGAGTTCATTTTTCATTAAAAAAGCAGCTGTCAATGATGTCAAAAAGCCTGGACTTTAATTTATAGTGGGGAATGGTTGTATATAAAGTTGAAAAGTCGTACTTTTTTATGTTGATTTTGGTAAAATTTTGTGATTTCAAATTTTCCAAAAGTTCCTTGGAATTTTTAAGTATCCACATCTGATTTACACCACTTCTCGAATATATATTGTTGCAAAGTACTCCTGAAGTTTCTCCTTCAATACTTTTAATATTTTAGTGAGAACATTTGCTGGAACCCGCTATGTATCTTTTTGTAAGGATTTTTATGAAGTTTCGGAATCAATATAGATATGGTAATTCAAATTCATTTTGGTGGTTGGGAATATTAAAAGTAATCAAAACTGACATATGATTTTGAAGAATTTTTTCCTTAGAAAGGGAGCTAAGGGTATAAGTTAAATTGGATTACCACTTGTAGAATTAAATCCCAGTCCCTCTGAAATACAGTTTAAATAATGAGCCTTACAAACAAACATAATGTTGTTACCTGCTTTGTCAGCAGGGACCAGTATACATACTGATCGTATAATCTATCTAATTCTTTTTTCACTTCTGGATTATTGAACACAGAGGGATAGTTGGTTTTCATTTTGCCCCTCAATCGCTTAATGCGAGATTTTAACATACATCTGATACATTTCATTTAATCCATTCTGACAACGTGTCACGGTCTATTTTTCATGTCTGGCTCATCGCCTGGCGTAATCTTCCACAGAATCCATATAATATTTTTGAATTTATGACGCCAGTTAAAAGATGGGGGTTCATTAAATTTTGGCCCTTTTAAAATTATTGATTTAAGGTCCTCATTATTAACTATATTTACGTCACCAGTAATAACGTGTCCAGCAGGACTATAGTTGTTGGGTGAAGAACTTGAACACGAAGGAGTATTATGTTTCAGATACTCGATATCTAGGCTCTGTAATGTTTTCTTGTAATTAAAAAGTTTGGAAGCAATAGAAAATGTATATTTGTAGGAAATACAAGGTGTTTCAGATACTCCATATCTAGGCTCTCTAATGTTTTCTTAATTGTAATTAAAAAGTTTGGAAGCAATAGAAGATGTATATTTGTAGGAAATACAAGGTGTAGTCTTCACCTTGAAATTTGGTGGAATACAAGACTGGACCCTTTTGTTATGAGGAATACGACATATATTAACCGCGTCAATTCCTTTATTGGCATATTAGAGTTTAAGGAAAAAACGGGTTGTTTTAGTTGCATTCTCTTCTGTACTCTCTGATAGGCTTGTTCTCATAGTATCAGCATGTGTGAATTTTTATAAAAGGTTAGTTTTAAGTTAAATTATGGATTTTTCAGTTGTAATAATTCGTGAAAGTGTTATAGAAAACATTTTTATATACAAAAAAGTCAAAGAACCCTTGGGGTACAGAACGTCGCGGAGGGGGGGGGGGGGGTCCGTCCCCAAGCACCTGTGAATTCACAGAAAAGCATATCGAATAAGCAAGAAGTTCGAAGTCGATAAATATACTTTCTGTGAAGTCGATATATCTATAGAGTGACCGAATTAAAGGGCTACATTTGTTATATTTTTATTATTTTTTAACCCACCCACCCCCCAAAAAATGAAAAAGTAAAGAAACAAATTCATCATTAGATAGACATCTCACTATCCTTTGGATTTTCCCTAAGTTAATTTTAGTAACTCAAGTCATTATTATAAAATAATAACTTTGCACGTGATATCAAGCAAACCAATGAGATTAATTGAATTACGCAGTAAAAATAATATATATACATGTATACATAAACCCGCCACTTTTTTTAATAAAACAATTCGGGCTCGGAAATCACTTGATGGGTCTTTTAAGTGTTTGAAATATCCGTAAGTGTAAAGCTGAAATCAACTTCTAAATTGACCAAGATTTACTCGTGATTTTGTTTGTTTTTGTTTTTTTCTTTTTTACCTGCAGCAAAATGTGACGAATTTTACCAAGGTATGTTAAGAATGCTTTTAGATTATGGTAGTCATCTGTTTTGTAGTTTCTTCAGTTTGAAAATACGATTTTTCATGTTTCCTGTGCATGAATGAGGTAAAATTCTTTTAGAGATAAGAAATATATATATAGAGAATCTATATATATATATATATATATATATATATATATATATATATATATATATATATATATATATATATATATATATTTAAATTATCCACGATTTTTCATATTTCACGCTACACCAACATGTAGCAGATAACCTTAACGTTAGAGAAGCTAAAACGTTTCAACTCTCAAAGGTAGGGCAAGGTTCATTCAGGTAAGTGAAGGTCTATAAGCAGGGACCTATATATTCCTGCTGATAAGTCAGTCAGAAAAAAATGTGCAGATATAGTCGAAAATCAGGAAAAAAGTCTCTCAAAGCGAACGATGTCATTTTAAAGTAGGTTAATGATTAAATACGAGCTTGAAGTGGTGGTGCCTGAAAATGAAATAGGTAGTACATTATTCAGAATTAGATATGAAGAATTTTATGAAATAGGAAAGGAGAAAATGTATGGCTGGACAGGGAATCAAACCCGGGACTCCTGCAACACTAGTCAGGTGCTCTACTGACTGAGCTACCTAGGTTGATATCCACAACCCAAACCATTACATTTAATTTAGCAGAGAACAAACATGTGAGATTTGCAAAAGAAACAGGAACAGGCTGTGTTATAAAATTTACCACAAAAAATGTAAAAAAAAAAAAAAAATAAAATAAACAAAAACTAAAACACAGAAACATGTATTAACAGACTGTATGGAATTATATAGACTTTGCTATTGAAATTTCTGGTTAAGAACTGTGCAATACCTAATCTTATGGCAAAAATAGATGTATCAAAGATAATGTATTTAAAGTTTGTAGAATTGTAATATATGATTTTCCAATAATAAAAAAATCTTTGCCTTGTTCACATTTTATTTAGTAATAAATATAAAAGCAAAAGCAAGTTGAACTATACAAATACAGCAGATAAACAGATGTACTACTAACTACTTAAAGCTAAAGTCTTCCTTGTTGATGATATATTGCCCCATAACTTGATGATTTGTGTGGTGATTATGACATCTACATAGATAATGTTTACTGTGGTGAGAGAGGTCTCTGATAAAAAAAAAATATTACAATGATAACCAAGATAACCAGAATTTGTAATCTATCTGGAGTCTTTCAAGGTTCAGTTTTAGAACTACTATTGTTTTTAATGTACACCCATGGCCACATAATTAATTATGCTAGTGGCAGTATGATGTAATATGTGGTTTATTTGCAATTATAATTCTGTGCAGATATGAAAATTATTTAATAAAGAACCTAAAAACCCAGAAATTTCAAAAACTAATCTTTATGCAGTAGTAATTGTAATATTTATAAAGCCTTCTAAGAATTGCTTTATCAGTCCCCTACCCGTGAAACCAGAGGGTAGTATACATTTCATCTCCAATTGTCTGTCTGTCAGTCTCCCTTTGTCTGTCAGTCTGTCTGTCCCTTTTGTCTGTCAATCTACCTGTCCCTTTTATCTGTCAGTCTGTCTGTCCCACTGTCTTTCCCTTTGTCAGTTTGTCTGTCCCTTTGTCTGTCCCTTTGTCTGTCAATCTGTCTGTCAGTCTGTCTGTCCCTTTGTCTGTCAGTCTGTCTGTTCCTTTGTCAGTCTCCCCCTTTGTCAGTCTGTCAGTCCCTTTGTCTGTCAGTCTGTATGTCCCTTTGTCTGTCAGTCCCTCTGTCTGTCTGTCAGTCTGTCTGTCAGTCTAGCTGTCCCTTTGTCTGTCAGTCTGTCTGTCCCTTTGTCTGTCAGTCTGTCTGTCCCTTTGTCTGTCAATCTGTCTGTCAGTCTAGCTGTCCCTTTGTCTCTCAGTCACTGTCCCTCTGTCAGTCTGTCTGTTTGTCACAGTCTGTCACACTTGATTTTCTGTATGTTTTCCTTGCTGTCATTTGCAGATATTGAGCTGAATTTAGGTTAATCTATCTTCATGAGACAGACTGACAGATAAGTTTGCATTTGTTTCCACTTCAATGACATTTAATGGAAATACATTTGCCTTTAGACTTGCAGATCATTACTGGTAAATATCTTAATATACAAGTACAAGTACTTTTTTCTTAACCTAATGTTTTCTCTTCTACTAATGAGTGCTTCTCATCCAGTTCCAACCATAAAATATTTTGAACCAAACAGAGATCGACTCTACCATGTATTTTTCATGGAAAGTGATAAGACTAGTACCCAGATAAGTGTTATTTGAATTTTTCTAGAAAATGTTGAACATGCATAAAATTATTCTGAATAAATATTTGTAGCTGTCAGGAAATGAATCAGTTTATGTCGTACTTTAAAGACTACTTCCTCTGATGTTCTATGTAGTCAAGCCACTTCCACTTCAGGACTTCCTTAAGTTCTGTATTTAAAGTGCAGGCTCAATTTGTAAAAATGAAGGATAAATCCTGAATTTTCCATTTCCTACTTGGCCTAGCCAACAGAAAGCTGTATAAATATATATATTAATCTACAGAGAGAGGCCTGTAATGCTAATATATAACCATAGTGTAGCAGTGATAAGGATATTCATAATCTGTCCACTTTACCTGTTGTCGACCATTATCATCAGGTATATTACTTCTGAGAAATAATCTCCCCTATTTGTTTACGTTTGTTGTTGTACAATTTGTGTAGCTCAGAGATGTATTAGTTCATAATAACATCATGTTTGTCTGAGGACACCATGATATCAGTGGTACAGAAAAGCATGTGCATTAACTTCAATGTTTATAAGGAAGAGGCTTTAAATTTTTCAGATGCGGCTGACTTGACCTGGCAGTAAGGGCAGACAACAATATGGCGGGTGGGTTAGCCGGGTCCGATATCATGAGGCTGCAGAACAGCCTTATTGATCTGATGTTGGTGGCGGGTCTGGATGAGAACTCGGGACTTATACCTGAGCAATCAGGGGTAAGTGTTTTTTTATACCTGAGCTATCAGGGGTAAGGTTTCACCATGTCAACACCACAGTCTTTATCTAACACTTGTATTTATGGAGATCCAAAAGGGTATCGATCCTAAAATGTTATATTATATGTGCAAATCTAGTTCTACTTGTTCATGAATGTACATGTATACAAGTAACATCCAACAGAATCACTTGTAAATTAATGCTTGCTGTTTTATTAACCATTATTTTGTACCATTCCTCTATACTCAGAACCCTTACACTTAGTTAATAATGATGTGTACCAATATGCAATGCATGACATTCATAATTTGCTTCTTTTTGTATTAAATTTATATTAATATTTTTTAAATCAAAATTAATTCATATTCATTGTATTTGTTACACACATATACCGGTAACTTTTTTTCTACATGTTTCCGTCTTTGTCTATATGCCTGCTTGGTTAAAGTTATGCACACATATACATGATATATACACCGGTAATCAAAACTTCCTCTTATCTCTCCATTATTAAGTAGAATTTTAGGTTTTAACATTGTACTTCATTTGAAGATGAAAAAAATGCTCAAGGACAGCTAGGAAATCCAACTTATAACAGTTGATCCTTAAATATTTACATTTCCAATGTCTTTGTCCGAGATAAAATTTCAAATAGTAAAAGTACTTTATTTCTACATAAATCTACTGGTTCATCGATAGGCGTGGTGAAAAAAAAAATCACGTGCGGGGCGGGACGAATAGAGACAGAAGCGGGACTTGTAGCACTTGTGATAATTTTATGCATAAACGCCGAAGGCGTTTATGCAAATTATCATGCAAGCCAATCGATTGATCACATCATGAAACCAAAAAATTAGACAGTTATTCCTTCATTAAGTTGTAAAGGAAATGTATCTTCTTCCTCAAACTCCTTTTAAATTGTAGTCAGTTGCCAATTTATACCCTTTGGAAAATGGTCAGTGGTGTCTGGTAGATTTGAAGTAATCTTTTGGTGCTTCCAGGGAGTGTGAAAAGCAGTTTTTTTTTTCTTTGAAAAGCCTGGTTCCAAGAACTTCTCATAAATTTTATACAGTAGCCAATCATTTTTTGAATATAAATGGTCTAGAGGTGCAATAAGGTTATGGAATTTTTTATTTTTATTTTAGCTAGAGGGCCAATATTGGGAGATGAAAATTTTAAATGCTTTTTTTCACAAAAAAGGGGGTTTTTTTAACAGAATTTATGCTTCATTAAATTCTTTTACATTTTTTAATGTATTAATTATTAGATCACCTGAGCCAAGGGTACACATATAGACAAGATCAAGACATAATTCTATATATAAACAGATAAATGTTTGATTTTGAAAAACATTTGGTTAATAAAGATGTAAAGATTTGGAAGTTCTTTCAAAATGCTACTTGTACAGGTATAGTTTGATTTTCATGAAGCAACATTAGAAAACATCCAAAAATATGTAATCCTGTAAAATAAAAAAAAAATTATTAAACTGGAAATTTTTAGCTCTACTGGTCAGAGACCAGGAGAGTTTATGTGATAGTAAGGTGTCCAATTTGTCTGTCTAGCTGTCATTCTGTCTGTATACAATTTTTCAAAATGCTACTCCTCCTACAGTTTTGATCTGATTTCAGTATAAATTGGCACACAAGGAGACTACACTAAGATACATAATTCTATATTTTGGTTTATGATTTCAATGAACAGTGTTGCCATGGTTACAAAAAATAAAAATTTCTGTTAAATACATTTAAACTGCTACTCCTTCTGAAGTTTTAGTCTCTTTCAATACATGTAGACTCCACTAAGCTACATGATTCTCTTTATTGGTTTTTGGTTTTGATGAACGGTGTTGCCATGGTAACTGAAAATAGAAATATCTGTGAAATACTTTTAAAATGCTACTCTTTCTAGAGTTTTGGTCTGATTTCAATATAATTTAATTAAATTATAAGGAATGAAGTTAATAGCTACCCAATTTATACAGTATAAAGTGGGTTGGAACAGTTTACGTTTTTTTATAAACTGCTTCACGGTTTATAAAGTGTAAACTGCCCCAACCCACTTTATACCGTATAAATTGGGTGGCTTTTAAATTCATTCCTTAAATAACTTGGCACACAAACTTGTAGACTACACTGAGATACATAATTCTGTGCAGCTGTTTTTTTATTTCAATGAACCGTTATGCCATGGTTACTAAATAAAGAAATTTCTGTGAAATACTTTCAAAACATTACTCCTCCTACAGTTTGGTCTGATTTTAATAAAATATGGCATGCAAATAGACAATACATGCACTCTCTTATAAATAATTGTTTTAACTACTTTTTGATTTTGATGAATGATGTTGCCATGGTTACTAATAAAAGAAATTTCTGTAAAATTCTTCCAAAAGGTTACTCCTCCCACATTTTAGTCTGAGTGCAATAAATCTTGCCACAAAAAGAGACTCTACAAAGGATCATTATTCTCTTTAACGCTGTTGCAAAGTTTCAAGTCCAAGTGCTGCTTTTCTCTTCCTTTGTTATAAGTACAAACCAGTAGAGCTACAGTATTGTCAGAGACTTCTGGCTCTAATACACTGTTATGAATGTATACCAGTAGAGCTACAGTCTCATCAATAATTCTGGTTGCTTATTGATGTGGGAAATGAAGCTGAACTTCTGCATTTTGAACATCAATATCTTCTATACCATGGATATGTTGAAGTGAATTGGGAGTACCAACCATATTTTAATTCTTTATACATGTTTCTCAATATCAAGAACCCTCAAATATCTCGAAGTTTTTTTGGGTCCCACCGACTGTGAAAATTAAGTTTGACTCCACACTCCACAGTTTGGGTCCACACTGCCAAGAAAACTATGCAAAATTCATTCAGAAATTTCTGTGTTGGGCAAGTTCTGAGTATCTGCCTTACTGGCACTCTTTTGCAGAAAGTTGAGATAGTTCTAAATCTTTTACACTTGCAACAATCGAGTGATTTCAACAATCAGTATGCAAAAAAGTACAATGTATTGCCAAGGGTGCACTCCAGATAATAGGTAGTCTAATTCAGAATGTTTAGAGTATTTTATTGACTTTCAAAAATAATGACTATTAGAAAGAAATGTTTTAATTTAATTACAAAAGTCAGCTTACAGGGATAGACATTAACTTTCACATTTACTTGCCCTTCGGGCAAGTGATCTCAAACTTTTACTTGTCCAAATGCAAAACTTGGTTGCCCAAAACTAGGAAAGAACTTAAGAAGAAAATTATTTTTTACTGTAAATGTTATGATAAGAAAAAATGTGACCAAATACACTACTGTCAATTTGGCAAGTTGAGCTAGCTGAAAAAATTTCGATGCTGCATTTGTACATAAATGTATACCACTGTACTTGCTAATTTAATCTGTTTTAACACACTGCCATGCTATGGTGTTCCGTTGGGGCCACTCGCACCTTCGCATAATGTATATTGTATTGCATAATGTATAATCCAGAAACGCTAGCAAGGAATTCTGAATGCAAAAACATTGTCAGTCAGGTACGTTGTGGAAATCAAGTGTTTAATTTATTGTTTTATTTATAAGTTAATGTTAACTGAATAAATATGTACATCTGTATAAAAAAAATCACTTGCCCGATCGGACAAGTACGTCGACAATTTCACTTGCCTGAACTGATAATTTACTTGTCCCGGGCAATCGGACAACCATTAATGTCGATCCCTGGCTTAGCAGAAAGTATCAATAAAAATATATGACATTACAAGAGGACTATAGTTTATTTAAAGATTTGTTAGTGTTCTTGGAATGTTTGGCAAGCTATTTCACCAACACTTCTTTCTTATGTGTCATTAAAAATCTACAGTGAAAGACAAGTGGTGTATGCAACAACACATTGTCCATAGCTAATAGAACTTTCCTACCTCCACCATGAAAGAGTTCTGCTAAGTTAAGTACATGTAATGGCAATACCAAGTATTGTATAACAACTTTAGGAGTTACACCTGTGTGAGCATTAATTCATTCTTTTTGAAGGTAGGAATGAATAGATAATCCAGATTGATACATGCATTAAATTCACAAATTAAAAACAGAACAATATTGTTGATGTATTTTTAAGACATTGGAGAGGTTTAAAACAAGTATTTCAAATATGAATTTTCTATTGGTCACAAATCTGTCCTATGTATGAAATTTAAATTGTATTATATGATTTATTGTTGTATTGTAGATGGACGCAGAGATGATCCTGGAGAACCTGTTCGAGATGAAGTTTGAACCTCAGGTCCTGTCTGCCGTGTCCTCCAATACAATGATGTATTTCTTCCCACATCCAAGGCAGGACTTTGAGTACCCTCTCTTTCAGGTAATATGACACATCTGCCTTAAAATGTAAAATAACACATCTACCTTAAAAAGTAAAATGACACATCTACCTTAAAAAGTAAAAGGACACATCTACCTTAAAAAGTACAATTATAACACATCTACCTTAAGTCATACATGTGATATGTACCGGCGGTACGCAAAATGTACAGTTTTTCGCGCCCATTCATCGTGTACAGGCGGGACACCAAAATTCACGGAATATGAAAATTTGTACAGTATTTTGAATTTCTCGCTAAATGCCGCCATTTTCCTCTCATTCTCGCTCACGAAACACTGGAAAACGTCACCTGTGTTTGACACTTGACCTTCCGATAATTGTGTAGTGTATACAACCATCGCGTGTGAAGGTGTCAATTGCCAATTGGGATAATCAAGATACCCCTTTAGGTAGCTTTATTTTTATAGAGGTACAGTTAAACTTCGTTATCTCGAAGTTGATGGGACCGTTGATGAACTTGAGATATCCGGGGGTTCGACATATCGAGGGTTATAATTCAAATGATTTTGAAATACACTTCATGCAGAGAACGTATACTTAATAATAAAACATGTCAAATTTCTTCTTGTTTGAAATTCTGTATACGATTTCTTAAATATACATGTATTTAGCAATAAAAAGATTTTTATATCCTCTTAATAATCCACAAAGTAAAAACTTTGTATAATATGCACAGAATTATAATCCTTCTACCAACCCGGCAAGTCAACCGCTAGCATCGTTTCCCATGTGTACATAACCGGATATCGTCTTCGAATTGTAAATTTAAAACCGGTCGCTGTCAGAATAACGAAAACGAAATATACAGTTGTTTTATTGGAAAAACATGTGCATACATGTATAATAAAAGAAAATTATTTTACCATAATAATATAGAATGCAAAAGAAAAAAATACGCACTGTCTAACTAAAGAACAACACTGAATGACAGGGCACTATAGCACAAGTTTTCACTGGGACACACGCTCACATAACGTGAATTAACGACGCTCATTTAGGAAAAATAAATTCTAACTGCATTGAATTTAAGAATTTTGTTTCACTTTGATGTTTATAATTTTACGCTTTCATATGCATAAACTATGCAAGGGCGCATATTACATTAAAAAGCGATAATCAAGATAAACGTACCCAGCCACAAAACAATTAACGTGTCATCCACGCGTATGTATTAGACTAATACACACAACCTTTGGCTTGCATAATTTAAAAACAAGGTAAGCCATACATTCACCTCGAATAATTATCGTGCTATTATCTGTTGATCACAGGAACACAGGTAACCCGTGCGTGACAGACAGGTGGCTGTTATCAATAGAGCGGTCAGTTTACCTAATGGACTTGATCATCAGAGCGGAAAATTATCCTGACTTCGAGATAACGCATGTGATTTTAATGAATGGGCACACAATTTTACTTCGAGATAAGCGGGGTATTCGACATTACCGTGTTCGACATAGAGGGGTTTATTTTAATCATTTAAAAAGCAAATTTTGTCGGGACCGCGGCCTTACTTCGACATATCCGAGGTATTCGAGATATCCGTGTTCGAGATTTCGAAGTTTAGCTGTACTTAATTATCATGATTATAACTGTTAATGTTTCGTAACTTGATTGAAAAAAATTAAGCCAACTTCTAAAGTTGATATACATGACCTAATATACATGAATCTGACCCAGATCTCCGTAGGTATAAAATATACGATGTTTATTACCATGAGTACGCTGAAATAAAGGATATAGTTTTAGTTTTTATGTGCTGAAATTCATGTATGATTGCTGCTGTTATTTAGCATTGCTGATGTATATATCAGTAATATGAACAAAATGTAAATTGGAGACATTGGCTGACTCACGTTAATACTATATAAAGCTGGCAAACAAACTATCATCTAAACAAGCTTAATTTATAATAGATTCATAAGAACATTGTGATTATAAAACACAATATATGAAATTTTAAAGCATTCAAATCTCCATAACAACTTTTAAAATAAGACATTTCAAACAATATATATTTGTTGGTTTACAAATAAGGTGCCTTATCAGAAGAATTTAAGCGATATTTTACACCGTTTTTTTGTACCGTTTTTTTGATAGGCGTGTACAGTTTTTTCACCCGAATTCCAGTTTTTTTATGGCTCCTGTACAGTTTTGTGGTCTTTGACTTATCACATGTATGTTAAGTGAAATGAAACATCTACCTTAAAAAGTAAAATGACACATCTACCTTAAAACATCTACCTTAAAAAGTAGCTGCAGAAGTGTAGAAAATTTTTGTTGACACACTGGTCTCCAAATAGATACAGTGTGCAATTACTTTTTTAGCTCACTTGAGCTGAAAGTTCAAGTGAGCTTTTCTGATCACCCGTTGTCCGTCGTCCGTCCGTCTGTAAACTTTTCACCTTTTCGACTTCTTCTCAAGAACCACTGGGCCAATTTTAACCAAACTTGTGACAAAGCAATCTTGGGTGAAGGGGAGTTTAAATTGTTAAAATGAAGGGCCAAGTCCCCTTCAAAGGGGAGATAATCAAGAAAATACAAAAATTGGGTGGGGTCATTAAAAAATCTTCTTCTCAAGAACCACTGGGCCAGAAAAGCTGAAACTTATCTGGAAGCATCCTAAGGTAGTGTAGATTCTAAATTGTTCAAATCATGACCCCCGGGGGTAGGGCGGGGCCACAATAGGGAATGCAAGTTTTACATTGAAATATATAGGAAAAATCTTTAAAAATCTTCTTCTCAAGAACCACTGGGCCAGAAAAGCTGAAACTTATGTGGAAGCATGCTGGGGTAGTGTAGATTCTAAATTGTTCAAATCATGACCCCCGGGGGTAGGGCAGGGCCACAATAGGGAATGCAAGTTTTACATTGAAATATATAGGAAAAATCTTTAAAAATCTTCTTCTCAAGAACCACTGGGCCAGAAAAGCTGAAACTTATGTGGAAGCATCCTGGGGTAGTTTAGATTCTAAATTATTCAAATCATGACCCCCGGGGGTAGGGCGGGGCCACAATAGGGAATCCAAGTTTTACATTGAAATATATAGGAAAAATCTTTAAAAATCTTCTTCTCAAGAACCATTGGGCCAGAAAAGCTGAAACTTACTTGGAAGCATCCTGGGGTAGTGTAGATTCCAATTGTTCAAATCATGACCCCTGGGGATCGGGCGGGGCCACAATAAGTTCTACCGGGGGGGGGGGGGAATCAGGTGAAAAACAGCAAGGCCAAAGTTACTCAGGTGAGCGCTGTGGCCCATGGGCCTCTTGTTCAGGTTGAATTTGAATTTATTAACATTTACATGTTTATAGAGAATAGGATGGCCAAAGGATTCAGCATACATGTATATGAATGATTGTACACTGTTTCATTTTTTTTCATGATAACACAAAGTGTGGGAATAATTGATTGCATACTTTAAAATAAAGAGAAATTTGTGTTCTTGGAGCACACTAAACATTGGATGTCATTCCATATTTGTATGAACATATATTTGCATCATCACATTCATTGGAAATTTAACTCTTGACAAGATGAACAGGAAGGATTAAAACTTGTTTTGTACAGGACAATAAAAGCTGAAATTCATTCCATTTAATATCACATTATGCTATTTATTCCAGGTTTAACTTTGGTCTAGAGTAACAGGAAAAGTCACAATAATCTAACACACAATTTAATTATCAGGAACATTAAATCCATGTTCATTATTCAAATCATATTAGAGATAATAGGCATATCACAGTAATAAAGTTTTAAATTACCAAGTACATAACATCTTCCTTTAATAGTCAGTTTATTGATGGATGGATCTATAAATCTTTTTTAAATGAATTTTCCTTCTTGCTCTGAACCAGCAGTCCTTGCACAACAGTTATATCAATATTTTGTACTTTCTCTAAACCAGCACCACACCCACATTGATATCTTGTACTTTAGCCTGAACAAAGCCTGACATAATGTTAACATTGAAACTCGATGATTAAGCCTGACATAAACCTTGACATTAAATTGATATTTTGTACTTTAGCCTGATATAAAACTTAACATTGCAATAACTTTGATATTTTGTACTTTAGCCTGATATGAAACTTGACATTGCAATAACTTTGATATCTTGTACTTTAGCCTGATATTAAAGCTTGACATTAAATTCATATTTTGTACTTTAGCCTGATATGAAGCTTGACATTACAATAACTTTGATATCTTGTAGTTGTACTTTAGTCTGATATGAAGCTTGACATTGCAATAACTTTGGTATCTTGTGCTTTAGTCTGATATGAAGCTTGACGTTGCTTTGATATCTTGTACTGTAGCCTGATATAAAGCTTGACATTACAATAACTTTGATATTTTGTACTTTAGCCTGATACGAAACTTGACACAAAGCAGTACCATTTTCTGAAGTCACCCAGTGTCTTCAACACACTGGACTCCATCCCAAAGAGCAAGTTCAACAAAGCTATGCACCAGTCACGTATGACACTCAGGAGTACCTCTGTGACCCCAGGGGCCATAAGCAGACATATGTCTATCCGGCGTCCAATTACAAAGAAATCTATTTACTGTAGCCCCCTTCTCAACAATCAACAGTTTCCCGTTCCAGATGAGGTCATCAAGTCCATCCAATACTTCTGCTTCCCAGGTGTGTTGCGTAAGATGTATCAAATTGCTATTGTGCAAGTTTAAAGTATCATGATGATAATCGTATATCATAATGAGTCCTAATGATAATCGTATATCATAATGAGTCATTATGATAATCATATATCATAATGAGTCCTAATGATAATCGTATATCATAATGAGTCCTAATGATAATCATATAACATAATGAGTCATAATGATAAACATACATCATAATGAGTCATAATTATAATCATATAACATAATGAGTCATAATGATAATCGTATATCATAATGAGTCATAATGATAATCATATAACATAATGAGTCATAATGATAAACATACATCATAATGAGTCATAATTATAATCATATAACATAATGAGTCATAATGATAATCATATAACATAATGAGTCATAATGATAATCATATAACATAATGAGTCATAATGATAATCATATATCATAATGAGTCTTAATGATAAACTTACATCATAATGAGTCATAATTATAATCATATATCATAATGAGTCTTACTCTTCAGAGTGCAAAAAGAAATCTTTAGAAATTTTAGCTTCGTGACAAAGAGCAGGGGGATACAAAAAAAAACCTTTCCATTGTAAAATATATATTTTACAGAGCAATATGCTTGGATATATTCCTAAGAAGAGATAACTTAGGCATGTATTAAGTACTGTAATGGTCATTTGGTACTTTTTTTAGTATGCTTTGTCTGTTTTTTTTTACAGATGACCTACGAATCACAAAACACAAAGCTGACACCTTGACCCACTTCTTAGTTTTGACAGATATCCATGGCAACAAGACTTATGCCACCTGTATAACGTTCTATAGACCTTACTTACTGGAGAAGGTTGGTGTAATCACAAGTGAATATTACTTCTATACAAGTGAGAAAGCTCAAGCTGTTTGAGCGGATTAAGCTCCTTTTTCATATAAGCATTTTTAACTCACCTTACCAAAGACTCTAGTGCTTAGTGAGTTTTTTTTAATGAGCAAGAGTCTTCAGCCTCCATTTTTTCATCAACTTCTGTAAATTTATCACATTTTTAATTGTTTTTCCAGAACCACGGAGCCAATGAAATCTAAGGCTAGATGGGGCTATATTGAGGGTCAAAGTTAAATATTGAAATATTCTTAGAAAGAACAGCAATATTAATATGCAAACATCCCCATATAATGAGGATTCAAATTTATTTGAATCATTTCCCATGGCCAGGTTGGGGCCATAATAGGGGATCAAAATTTTACTTAAAAATATGTATACAAGGAAAATTTTTAAAACCTTTTTCTCCAAAAAGCAGGGTCTAAATTAGTCATGCTCAAATTCTAGCAACCCTGAGTAGTGCAGATTCATAGCATTAATCTTCCATATCAGTTCACTGCAGCCTTTCACAGTTATATTATTATTCTGGTAGTTGTAATTTTTGCTGTATTGGGTGAAGCTTTAGTTCTGTAAATCCTGTTGTTTGTTTAAGTATGATGGAATTTTTGTTTTATTGGGAGAAGTTTTCTTTCGGTAATTTTATTCTGTTGTTTCTAGGAGTATGATGGAAGCTTAATTCCTCACTTGGATCTATCAGGCGACAGTTCAACAACTACTTCAGAAAATGTCCGCTGCTTCATTCCCGTCTGTTGTGTCCTTATTTCTAAATACCCCTACTTTGAGACCATGAAGGAATGTCTGTCCCAGTAAGTAATGCCAGTGAATATTTCGATTCACCAGAGAAAAATCAATTGTTCCTTGTATTGGCAGGATATGTATTGATGTATGCTTATACAGGAATCAGACTGTCTGATTTCATGCATTGGATATCATTCTTAGCAATTTACACATACATAATTCCCATCAAAAACATCGTTTTTTGTTTATGTTGGCAGTATGGTTCACCTGATAGAGACAGGACCAGAGGACATGTACACCCACATCAAACTGTTCTCCCATAAACTAACAATGACTCCAGTACCCCCCGCTGGAAGGGTGGCTATAGTGAGTATACATATATATAGGAAAAACTGGAGTTCGTGTCATGATTTTGGTTCAGGTCCTCAAGGTAACAGGTAACGTGGAATCATCATTGTTTGGGGGGGGGGGGGGGGGGGAGTGGGGGCCAATATTCATGGATTTTGTGGGTCACCATTACCCCCAAATTTACATGCCTACAAACATTTATTTTGTAAACATTGATTCATTGAATCTACCTTATAAACGAGTAACCCATGAAATTACGTGCTCATGAAAAAGTAAAATTTTGCTAGCGCCCCATGAATTTAAATGATTTCACAGCAGATGGCAAGGGGTTTTAAGAACATTTTCATTTTAAAGGGGCCTGGACACAGATTTTAAGTTAATATTTTCTTAATTTTTCAGTATAATATGATTTATATGTTGCTAGAGCATTTCACGCTGAAATATAATAAAAGCGTGTTTAGATACTTCTTTTATCTGGAGATTATTGAAACTACGAATTTCAGGACGCGTTTGATTGACTCATATCCTGGCACTTTCATGAAGTAAACTTTATCCTTTTTACTTAAGAAATTAAAGTAGAAATTTTGTTGTGTATTGATGAAAAATATTAAAACTGTAGAAAAGTGGAAATTTTGTTGTGTATTCATGAAAAATATTAAAACTATAATCCAGAAAATTCAGAGTAGAAATTTAAGGAAGGAAATCCAACTTACCAGTATTGTCAGACGATGCTCAGTGATGTGTGCAGAGTAAACAAACACACCCAGTAAAACATAAACACACAGCTCATGCCCTGTTTACAAACAGATATGTTTGATGTGATGTAAAAGATGAATGTCATTGTTATTGAATTCAACGAATATTCATGTAAGTTCAGTTCATTAACAGGCCCGTAGGAAGCAATTTCAGTGTGGGGGGCACAGCTGAACATTTTCAGTTGGGGGGGGCACTATCAACTACCAAAATTCTTTGACAAGCCAAAAAAAAAAGGTCATCAGACATTTTTATTGAGGGGGCACAAGCATATATTAGCTATGTTTTCTATAGTAATCTATATATATCGGCAAAATTATTGGGGGGGGGGGGGCACGGCCCCCCGTTCCCCCTGGTTTCTATGGCCATGATTAAACTGAAGTAATTTTTTTAATAAACATAGAAATTTACAATGTAAGCAATGCATCTGTGTCCAGGACCCTATAAAAAGAGAGAGAGAGTTAAGTTTGAAATATAAAGAGAAATTTTTTAGCAATGTAGTGTAAGTTATGATATCCTCCAAAGAATGTTCATCAGAAGCACAAATAAAGCTGCTTATCATCCACTATAACTTTTTAAGGAATTTGGTATCCAGGAAGTGTCATTCATCATAAGGCCCTCCCAGGAGGCGGAGAAACAAGTGATTGACATTCCACTGTACCTTCCCTTCCTTATCTTCCCACCAGAGGAAATCCTCAGGATAATATCATCTATCCTGGTGGAGCATCGTATTGTGTTCATCGCCTCTAATTATGCCTTACTTACAGTGGTCATGGAGGTGAGTTCTGTGTATGCATGTAAAAGTCAACAGAATTCAAACTGTAGGAAATTTTATGTCAATTATTGCGGTTTTGTTCATTATATTTTGGTCACCTGAGTCACTCCCATCATTCTCCTTGTAATTTGCATAAACTTTTAGACATTTTCAGCTGCTCTAAAATGGCTGAAGTTTGTTTTATAGTATCTGTAAATGAAGAGGAACTGAAAATTTAACTTTGAAACTGTCCACTAGTCTCTGAAAGGGGGGGGGGGGGGCATCAGATGTTAGAGATTGGCCCAACTGATTTTTTGAGCTTCTAGGAGACAGACTTCATGCAATGCAATAATGACCATAAATCTTCTATCAATTTGCAAATTTCTGTCAGGTTTCCAAAAGTTCAGTCCCTGATGGGGCTTATATGGTCAAAGCATGAAACTCAGGTGACCATCAACACCCATGGGTCTCTTGTTTATCACTATTGTTCTTTCAGAGCTTTCTAAACTTTATCCTACCATTTGAGTGGAAGTACACGTATGTACCAATATTGTCCAGTAAATCTATAGAACTGCTGGATGCTCCAGGGACATTTATGATGGGCTGTCACTCCAAATACAAGGAGCAAGTCAATCAGGTCATTATAAGAAATAGATATGGATATTGCTAGTAATTACCCAAATGTCAGAGTCAAGAAAACTAAATAAAGAGGGGGAAAAGCTTTTATAAACTTTTTTTTAAGCATGCATTTTTATATACGTATTGAATGTATTTTATGTGAAGATAATATATACAAAGTATACAATTTCTTAGGTGGGAGGTTTAGTAGTCGTAGATATAGATGAGGGGTCACTGAGTATAAACCCTGAATTAGCAGAAGACTCGAGATCTTCCATTTCTGTAGACAGTGATAGTATCGAGGACTTGCTAGATATCCCAGAAATCCCTGAGGGTGCCGCCCAACTCTTCATCAAAGTCTGCCGCAAAGCCAAGTTCCAATTTGACCTTGTTGATACACAAAGGTAGTCAACATGATATTATTTACAGGAGAAAAGATGTTTTTGAAATATAGATCAAAGTAAAGGCAGCATGTTTGATATGTTGAGTATCATTATGCTTGTACTGAAAGTCCATTAAATCAAGTTCTCCTCATTTTCAGACCAAGTCATTTTGATGTAAAAGCAGAGCGAGCTTACAGAAGAAGAAAAATCCAGACTTTGAATGAACTCATTGTTGCTGGATGTTTAGAACTCATGGTTAATCTGTTTAGGTATGCCTGGTCTTTAGGTTAACTTTTTTGGTCTGTCTGTTTACGTCTGAGTTTGTTATTAAACTTTGTATGTTTAGATATGATATTGAGGTCAGCTTCTTGTTAAGATTGTATCATGAAGTTCGCTTATCTTATTTACATGAGGAAGATTATGATTATCAAGTTTTAATTAATTGTTTCTATTTTTCAATTTTGCTTTTAGTTGGATGTAAATGTTTTAAGTACATGTATACCCTTAATACAGTAAAACATGATTATAAAGAAGTCGCTAGGACCTTGAGTTTAACATCCTTATTACTCAGATTCTTTTAATCTTAATTATGAAGATGAGAATCAAAAGTCTTTTACATGATTTGGAAAAAAAAAAATCCTTATAACCGAAATTTCTTCATAAATGAGTTCTTTCTAACCAAGTTTTAATGAAGAATGATTTTATGTAATTTATGAAAATTAGTTTGTTTTACATAAATCTACTAGGTAATAGTATGCATAGCCCCCATTTAAAACATTTTTCTATGCTTATAAAAGTTACTATAAGTATACATATACATGCACTTTAATTTGAAACCAAAAGGTTACATTTCTTTCAGCTGTGTTCATCTAGTTATTTTTGCTTCTTTTAGGAGTGTGGTGACGGAAACTCGTGTAGAATTTAAAAGATTTAACAAACAAGCTTATTTAGATTCGAAATCTGGATCAGAGAAAAGCTTTTATGAGCAAGTTTTGAAGACAAGCATGTTTAAAAAGTTTCTGAAAGATCGCATTAATGATAAAACAGACTACTGGGTCAAACTAGAGGTGAAAACGAGGCCGCAGGCCAAAATCTCAGAAAGTGGACCCAGCGTTCCAAGCAGGTAAGAGAATCACATCTCTAAGTGAGGAAGTTAAACTCCTGTAAAATATATCATTCTGTAGAAATGAAAAAAAAATTAGACAAATTGAAAAGATTCATTTGAAGTTTTCGATTTTCCTGATTGCTTTGTTATTTTGTTTCTTATTTTCCTTAAATGTTAAAAAAAAAACACAGTTTAATAAATTATTATTTCCTGATTTGGTATGCTTTATTTGTGTGATTAAGGTATTCTACTCTTTGTGATTTGTGTTTATATTCAGACGTCCACAGTTACGGAAGCAGAATTCTATTGCTATCATTCCTGTGAATGCTCATTTCTCCCAGACTTCCCCAGTACTACGGATGCCAGACATCGGCAATCGTGTGATTGATTACCTGAAGGACTCAATCAGACTTCTGACCTCTGCTGTACAGGTAGGGTTAGGAACTTAGAACAAGACTGTACAAAATTCCACCAATAATAAAAGTCATATAATATTACAATTCTTGTCAACCATTGTATATCTTTATGAAAATCAGAACCCACTTGGATGTACAGTAAAGAACTGTTAAAGAGAATAGTCAAACTCTGTTATCTTGAACTGTTAAAAAAATATATTTCTGTGGATTTGAGATACATGTATTGAGGTTAAAAACAGAAAGAAAATTGGTTGGGACATCCAACTCACTCGCACATATCCAACATATCCATGGTAATTAAGACATTGAATGATCAAGATACTGAAGTTTATCTGACGTGTATTTATCCCTCCACTCTGAAGGAGAGGGGGGTATACTGTTTTACCATTGTGTGTCCATCTGTCTGTCCGTAACTTCACAGTTTTCTTAGCAACTACTCATCGCAGATGCTTGGAATTTTAGCACACTCTTTGTTTAGGCATGTCATATGGTGGGATTTATTTTTGTACGAATGGGATGTCAACTTCCTGTTTATCCATGCATCTGTCTGTACCATACATAACAAATTTTGGTTGCAGTTTTCTCAGCAACTACTCATCACAGAGGCTTGAAAATTTAGCACACTCTTTGTTTAGGCATGCCATATGATGGGATTTATTTTTGTACGAATCGGATGTCAACTTTCTGTTTATCCCTGATTCCGTCCATAACTGAACTTGTGTATTCACATCATAGCGGGGCTTTTATTATCACATCATAGCGGGGGTATTATTAGTGAGCATTAGCTCACAGACTTCTTGTTTAAAATAGTCTTTATATGTATCTGTACAAACTATCTAAATGTTTTTAGAGAACTAAATTAAAAGAGAAAACATGGAACTTTCAGTGCTCTGCTTTAAGAGTTTTTATGTATACAAGTATAAATGAGTGTGAGTACATTTAAGTGTGTCAATCAAACCTCATTATATCAAACTCAATTGAACCAAGAAAGAATAGAGAGATATCTGAGGATTCAAGATATCAAGGCTAAAATACATATTTAGAAAGAGGTTGGGACTTCCAATTCACTTTGATGAATCCATGGTATTTGAGATACCAGCAGTCGTGTTAAACTGCATATCTTATCTCACCAGAAAAGCCAACATTTCCAGGAGCGAGCCTCCTACATCTACCTACTGGGAATGTTTAACCTGGCCTGTAACAAGCTGACTCTGGCTTTGGAGAACTTTATTTCACTAGCATCCATTGATACCCAGATCTTACCAAAGCAGTAAGTGATCATTACTTTTGAGGCAGTTAATTTCGTTTGATATTATCCGAAAAATACCAATATTGAATGAAGCAAAGTTGGGTACCTACATGTATAAGCCCTATTTTGGACGAAACTTGCATGAAAAACACATCTTATGCTACATACGATAATTCCCTGTATTTATTATAATACGGATTATTCATAGATCTTTAACTAAAGACATAAGTGTTGAATTAAAATACCAATAATACATTTGTGATATGCCTCACCAATAGACATTCGATCCATTGGTCAACATTCTGTAACTGTAGAGTGGTTAAACAGATTTGTCAACAGCTGGAGGATTCAGAGTTACAGAAGCTGATGGCTAAGCCAGGATTTCACGCCCTACCAGAAATAGTGGGGTCAACAGTTACAGAGACTGTCTACCACAATCACAGGAAGTTTGAGGAATCTATCAATCTCCCCCAAAAAGATCTCTGTAGGCTATTTCATTTGTTACTGGATTCCTAAAGAGATATGCTATCATTAAACTGTACAGTTAATACTATCACAGTTTATCAAATAGATTGTTCTATGTTTTAAGAATATATTGCAGTGGTTAATTACAATTTTTATTTTTTTTTCATGTCAGATTATGATGAATTTGTGGAGTGTGTCTCTATGCTGGAGATGACCAGTGACACAGACACAATAGGCCGATTATTCCGAGCTCTCACTCCCTCACAAATCCACCAAAACTGTAAGATTTCTGCATATTATTAAGCTTTCTTTACTTTCTCTCTGAGTGTGAATTATGTTTAGAACCATTGATCAAAATCTATCACAAATAGAAAATATGCTTAGATGCAACATCAAAGTATATCTTCATTATTTTGAGTGGGTCAGAGTCTGTCATTGTCACTCTCACATTGTCCTTTTTCAGTCATTGATCAGGAAACCTTTGCCTCCTTTACCCACTGCTGGAAAGAAAACAATAAACAATGTTTGAGTCTAAACATTAATGATGACGACCTCCTGGAAGCAGAGTGTGTCCTCAAAATGTCCTCATTATGTAAAACAGATTATGGAACAGGGAGAGTGGCCCTCACAGACAGAAGGTAAATTGTACTAAACAATGTCCTCATTTTGTACAACAGACAATGGAACAAGGAGGTTAACTAAGAAATAATTCCCGCATGGGAGGAATTGTTGGAGAATATACCCCGATAGTTGAGAGATTTTTTTTTGGCAAATGGAAATAGATCCTGAAGGGCAGGGTTTTTATGTGCTAAGAAAATCTTGAGACTAAGGGGTATATTCTCCAACAATTCCAACGACGAGGGAATTATTTCTATCCTGCTATGACGAATATTTTTAACTTCTCTATAGAGAAATGCAGCAGCTAGATTTGAACGTCATCAGAAGTGTCTCTTGACGACACAATAGAATGCTACTCCTTGTTCATTTGTATCTCAAGCTTTAGAAAAAGTACAATGTATTCTGAACCCAAAGTAAATTTTTCCCACCAATTTGCATCACAATCAAAAGATACTTCTATCCTTTTCCTAGTGAACACAGTCAAAATTAGAGGAAACTGATTTAAATTTATTAATAATTTGTTGATGACGTTTGTGATTTATTCAAGAGCATATTTTCTGTCCAGTAAGACTTGTACTTCACCTATAGAATACCTATGAGTAGAAATTGTGCAGCGACCTTGATTAATTTTCTAGATCAAATGTCATGGTCAACAAACCTCTGTGTGTAAAATTGTGTGTAAAATTGTGGTCTGAAACATATCTTCTTTCCCCATGGCCCTACCTAGCTCAAACTTCATCAGAGGAGTACCTTTGGGTAGAAATTGTACCGTGTCCTGGAGCCAAGTTTCTTGGCTAGTGGTTACAGCAGATCTCTGCAGAATTCTTACCTTTTCTCCCATTGGCCCCATCTAGCTCCAATTTCTCAGAGTGCCCTTGGTTAATTCATCCTAATGCCTTAAAAGTGGGGCCTGTTGAGATGGTCACCATCTCAACAATGTCAAGTTTTTTAGCTCACCTGAGCTGAAAGCTCAAGTGAGCTTTTCTGATCACATTTTGTCTGTAGTCTGTCTGTCCGTCTGTCTGTCTGTAAACTTTTCACATTTTCATCTTCTCCAGAACCACTGGGCCAATTTCAACCAAACTTGCCACAAAGCATCCTTGAGTGAAGGGGATTCAAGTTTGTTCAAATGAAGGGCCACGCCCTCTTTCAAGGGGAGATAATTAAGAATTAGTGAAAAATGAATAGCATCTTTTAAAAATCTTCTTTTCAAGAACCACAGGGCCAGGAAAGATGAAACTCATATGGAAGCATCCCCAGGTAGTGTAGATTCAATTTTGTTCAAATCATGACCCCCGGGGGTAGGGCGGCGCCACAATGGAGGATCAAAGTTTTACATAGAAATATATAGGAAAAAATCTTTAAAAATCTATTTTCAAGAATAGTAAGGCCATGAAGAGTCATATTTATATGGAAGCATCCTCAGGAAGTGTAGAATCAATTTTGTTCAAATCATGACCCCTGGGGGTAGGGCGGGGCCACAATGGAGGATCAAAGTTTTACATAGAAGTATATAGGAAAAAATCTTTAAAAATCTTCTTCTCAAGAACAGCAAAGCCATGAAGAGTCATATTATATTGAAGCATCCCCAGGTAGTGTAGATTCAATTTTGTTCAAATCATGACCCCTGGGGGTAGGGTGGGGCCACAATGGAGGATCAAAGTTTTACATAGAAATATATAGGAAAAAATCTTTTAAAATCTTCTTCTCAAGAACAGTAAAGCCATGAAGAGTCATATTTATACGGAAGCATCCTCAGGAAGTGTAGATTCAAGTTTGTTCACATCATGACCCCTGGGGGTAGGGTGGGGCCACAATGGAGGATCAAAGTTTTACATAGAAATATATCGGAAAAATCTTTAAAAATCTTCTCAAGAACAGTAAAGCCATGAAGAGTCATATTTATACGGAAGCATCCTCAGGTAGTGTAGATTCAATTTTGTTCAAATCATGACCCCCGGGGGTAGGGCAGGGCCACAATGGAGGATCAAAGTTTTACATAGAAATATATAGGAAAAATCTTTAAAAATCTTCTTTTCAAGAACAGTAAAGCCATGAAGAGTCATATTTATATGGAAGCATCCTGAGGTAGTGTAGATTCAAGTTTGTTCAAATCATGATCCCCAGGGGTAGGGTGGGGCCACAATGGAGGATCAAAGTTTTACATAGAAATATATAGGAAATATCTTCTCAAGAACAGCAAAGCCATGAAGAGTCAAATTTATATGGAAGCATCCTCAGGTATTTAAGATTCAATTTTGTTCAAATGATGACCCCCGGGGGTAGTGTAGGGCCCAATGGGGGATCGAAAGTTTTACATAAGAACATATAGAAAAAAAATTTCTTCTCAAGAACAGAAAAGCTATGTTAGTCTTGTTGATATGGAAGCATCCTCAGGTAATGTAGATTCAAGTTTGTTCAAATGATGACCCCTGAGATAGGGAGGAGCTACAATGGGGGATCAAATTTTTACAAAGAAATAAATGGGAAAATTCTTTTAAAATCTTCTCAAGTACAACAATATATAGGAAATTCTTTAAAAATCTTCTTCTCAAGAACAGCAAAGCCATGGAGATTCATATTTATATGGAAGCATCCCCAGGTAGTGTAGATTCAATTTTTTTCAAATCATGACCCCCGGGGGTAGGGCAGGACAATGGAGGATCAAAGTTTTACATAGAAATATATAGGAAAAATCTTTAAAAATCTTCTTTTCAAGAACAGTAAAGCCATGAAGAGTCATATTTATATGGAAGCATCCTCAGGAAGTGTAGATTCAATTTTGTTCAAATCATGACCCCTGGGGGTAGGGTGGGGCCACAATGGAGGATCAAAGTTTTACATAGAAATATATCGGAAAAATCTTTAAAAATCTTCTTCTCAAGAACAGTAAAGCCATGAAGAGTCATATTTATACGGAAGCATCCTCAGGAAGTGTAGATTCAATTTTGTTCAAATCATGACCCCTGGGGGTAGGGTGGGGCCACAATGGAGGATCAAAGTTTACATAGAAATATATCGGAAAAATCTTTAAAAATCTTCTTCTCAAGAACAGCAAAGCCATGATGAGTCATATTTATATGGAAGCATCCTCAGGAAGTGTAGATTCAAGTTTGTTCACATCATGACCCTCGGGGGTAGGGCGGGGCCACAATGAAGGATCAAAGTTTTACATAGAAATATATCAGGTGAGCGATGTGGCCCATGGGCCTCTTGTTTGGTTTTTTTTGGTTGTGCTTGGTGAAGAAATACATAAAAGCCCATGGCTACTTGTTAATTTATATGGAAAAATTATTTTTCAGACTTTGTTTTGTGAAAGACATCTCCACTGAAATGAAGGAAATTATGCGACTGAGTAAAATAGAAGAACTGGAGAAGAAGTCAATGTTTTCATTCCTAAAGCAGGTCAAGGTTCTAAGGATCAAAAACAAAGGTGAATGTCATTATATGTACCCCACCCCAACAAAAAAAGGAATATATAAAATCTAAATACAGTTAAACCTCAATATCTCAAACTTGATGGGACCGAGAACAAGCTTAGAGATATCCAATGATTTGAAATATCAAGGGTAATATACTTAAAGAATAGTAGTTGGGACTTCCAAATCACTTCAACATATTCATGTCATTTGAGATGTCAGTGTTTGAGATACCCAAGTTAAACTGTAGATCTAAGTCCTTATTTATATGAGAAAAAAGTTGGATTTTTTCACAAGAATAAATTTAATGTGGTAATATGAACTTTTCAAAATGAAACTGTCATAGGCCTAGTTCAAATAGAAAGAAATAGACTATTTTAAAAAAAAATTAAAACATCTTTACATTCTGTGAACTCATTTTCCATTTTGTTATGCTGTTGAATTTTGGTGTTAAGCTATAGACATATGAACTGTTTGTTATAGATGGGAGTAAATTTACTGCTTGGCTGAAGGAAGAGAGGGATGATTTTTGTCTGTTGATTGAGGAGATGTGGGCAGGAAAAATTGTGTGTGAGTCCACAAAGGACATCCATGCCATTCAGAAGGCGGCCCAGAATGTGCTACTGGTGGACGCACTGCTACAGAGGTATGAGTAAAACAATAAAAGTCTGGTCATGACATGCCATTATCATGTTTCATATTCACTGATGATCAATAAGTTCTTTTGTTTAAAATAAACCTTTATCAGACAGTCATAACACAAAACAGTGTGTGTCAAACACAACAATTAAATTTTTCTGTAGTATAACCATAATCTTTGTGTTCTTATCTTCCAAATAATTAGCAGAACTCCTTAACAAAATTGAATTTTTTTTTTGGTTTATATATATTTGGTACGTTACATAACAGATTTACTTCAACCCTTTGATGAACCCTTGTCCTACATGTTTGTATACTGCCTTAGTGGCCTTGACGAACCTTTGTTTTACATGTGTCAGGGGTGTGCAATTACCATCGCCCGACGCCCGGGGCTATCAATTTTAGAGGTCGGGCTATGATGAATCTATACTGCATTAGCCCGTTGGGCTAGTAAATCTAAAATGAAAGTATACTTATATTTACGTCGCCTGAATTGATGTACAAATTAAATTTGTTGTAAAATCATAATCTTTAATTCGTTTTGACCTATATGTATTGTGTGTTGCTATCGCCAGTCGTTTCAGTGACAATTATAGTCGATAAAAATAGGGCGAAGTACCTGACAATAACAAAGCGCAAACCATTATTTGTTTTATTTATTTCAACTTAAATTTTTTTTTTACCTTTTTGTTATACTTATACATGTATTGTTTTCGGTAGTTAATGGGCTAGTGACTGGCAACCTCGGGCTAGTAACTTTGTTACTGCCACTAGCCCGACGGGCCAGTAACTAATTTTTGTAATTGCACACCCCTGTGTGTGTATACTGTCTTAGTGGCCTTGATGAACCCTTGTTTTACATGTGTGTATACTGCCTTAGTGGTCTTGATGAGGAAACAGCACACCATAGCAACCGAGAGGAGGCGGCCAGACAGCTGTGTTTTTACAGGAAGTACAGAGAGGAGGGTCACCATAATGTCCCCCAGGAAACAAAGGAGGTGTTACAAAACCGTATCGACCCAAACTATGGTGAACGAGAGAGAAAGACTGTACATGCTCTTCTGTATACCCCAGGAGGTGAGAAAATTAAAGATGCAGTACACACTTTTAATATAGCCATTAAATCTGTTCAATATCGTGCCTGGAAATCCTATATATTAAGTGTTTTTCATTGATATAGAGAAAATTAAAAATGATTTTCTGTTCAGTTCTTTCATAATTTTCCATTTATTTTTCTTTTTTCAATGAAGAAAAAAGGCAGGAAATTTTTTTATTCAAGAATAGCCGGTTTTGAATCAATTTACATGTGCATGAAGTCATTCTATTTACTGAAAAACTGATGGACTGGTTCGTGATGATAAATATCAGTGAGAATAGATTGATTACGAATCTCATATGGACTTACTGCACGTGTATAATACTAGGTTTACTGTAGTCTTGGGTTTAGTAGTAGTAGTAATACAAGTACATGTATTCATGAATGCTTCTGTCATTCTTATTTTGTGTGTGGCTCCAACATTTGATATGGATATTTTATCTAATTTCAGTACCTGAGCACTCTATTTCCCCACGCTTATGGGTTGGGCTTGGAGATGGGAAGATTAAGGTTTACAATGCCTCCCACTGGCTTCTGGAGTCCGAGTTTGTCCAGACAAAGCAAAGTGTGGTGAGTTATCTCCCATTTAAAGCCTCATTTTGAATCACATTTCTTGGATGTTAACTGCATTACACAAGACATGCACTAAAACAATTTGCTAGCCAGAAGCAAGTACATCTGAGTCTGTGGCAGATATCTGAATTTCCTCATTGTTTCTCTGCCTCTCTCTGTTAGTGATAGTGGAAATAAGTTATTTCAGTGTTTTCAGTGTTATATGGCTGCCAAAAAGTTAATAATATGTTAAAAATTAAATGACTAGATTATATATACAACTCTGTATTGACCAGACTGTGATATTTCTTGGTTTTTCTGATAAAGTTTATGTAAAGAATTCTACAAATCAGTAATCAAAACGAATTTGGTAACATAGTTTTACATGTTTACATAAAACATATATAAAGAACGAGTGCACTTAAGGGCCCCGGTAAAATGTGGAAAAATGAAGAATCAAATTAAGCATAATTTTTCATCTCAGATCATTAATTGATATCTAAACCATAAGATTCAACAAATTTTATCGCTGAAATTCATGAATATACAAAGAGCAAAGCCATACAATGTGGTAGGGATCAGCCAACATTCGTAATTTTCCATAGTAAATCGAGGACGGTCATTTATTTCAAAGCTTTTGTTTACTGTCAGCCTAACGTTGTACAAACTTGTGCGAATGACAAAAAGCACATTATACATTTATAAAACTTGCGTGAAAGTAGGAAATTTGTACAAGATTAGGCTTGTACTTAAAATATTAAAAATGTATGAATAGTTCAATGTTTTTCCTATAGCTGGCGAAAGCTATTTACCTGTATGACCTATGTTGAACCCATCCATGGAATAAATTATTTAAAATACCGGTACATGTAGTCACGTGAGTTCTACCCATATAAACATTCCTCAAAAGTGCTCACTGTAAAAGATAGCCATGCACGTTTTGTATCATTATATCGAAGTCGTGCCACATAGAGAGGAACACGGGAGGGTTAGGAGAGTTTAGTGTCGTTAAAATGTCATCATACATAAAAGCGTCAAACATTTTTAACATTCATGCAAGACAATGCTACCGGTATTGAAAGCCACCTGAATACACTTTTTTCATTTTAAAATTTAAAGGAACTAATGTTAATACTTATTATACTATTTCAAGTGCAAGCGTACAAATTTCTTAGTTTGATCACTATGGCTACAGGCATCTATACAACTTCATTCGATTTTTTTCTCAGGTAAAATAGCGCAAAAAGTATCAATCAGCAAACACGCCCGTCAGTGATCCACCATCAGATTGTTCAAGTGTCCAATTTAAATGTCTCCTCCCCTTGATTTAAATAAACGAAACTCAAATAGGTTCGGTACGACTTTTCTGGATTTGGGGTATCTATAGGCATTTGAAAAATCTTTGTTTGTTTCAAATCCGTGCTGATTTAGGTGATGTTTTAACATGATTTTAATTAGAAATATCCACTTGTGTTTCACTATTACCAAAAGAGAACAATTTGGTAATATATTCTAAAGTAATACGGCACTGAAAAGGGCCCATTAAGCATTGCTTAAGTGCACTTGTCCTTTGATTTAAATTCTGTTTTGGCTTATGTGGTCAAGTAGCAATAAACCAGAAGAGTTTGCTTATTGACATTAATTTCAAACATTTGACACTTTAATTTAATCTTTGTTTCAAGCAGTGTGGATAGCATTTACAGACTTTAATCCATTTACAGTAAAACACACTTATAGCGAAATGCCAGGGACAAACAGTTTAAGATTTGTTGCAACCACAATTCTTTATATCCATTAATTTCATAATATGCTTTTTTACTACTGGGAATAAAAATCTATTTGCTGTAAGCATGAATTTGTTATAAGCATGTTCGCTGTAACTGTTTTACTGTATGTGCTTTTCAAAGTGTTATGAAATCATTTTCACCCAAAATTTCAGCAAACCTGCAGAAAAAAGTTGGAGGTCCAGGGCTGTGTAAGTTTGAGGCTGTTTTGTTATAATTCCTGTAGCTTTAATCACTTGAAACCATTCAGTATATCAACCTGTCATCATTGTGGCACAAACTCTGTCATTGGTTTCAACAAGCTCCCTGTACTAATAGACATATATGGGTTTATGAAACTAATATTAGTGTAGGCTCTGTGTATGTTGAATATTTACAGCATGGATTAAATTAACACTCTCCAAGATATCATCATCCTGAAGGACAGGGGGTATTGGTATTTTTTAAAAATGTGAAAATGTTCAAAAAATGTTCATATAGTTACTGGGTACATTTACAGTGTGGTGCAGTGGTTAGATCATTTGTATTTTCTTGCTAGAATGGCAAAGTAAAGAGTTAATCCTTAAGTTGCAGCTTTGAATCCCACTATTGATGTGGAGACCAAACCTTTGGATGAGACCATATAAACAGAGGTTTAATGTCACAGTAAATGCTGACAAAAAAATCCCTCACTAGTGAATGGCCATAACTGCCCAGTACAGGTCCCAGGATCATGAAACAGACTTAGACTTAGATCAAATTTTCAACCACCTGTAAACTTTTTATTTAAAATTATTGAATTGATCTATAAATTTGCAGATAACAACACTTTTGTCAAGAAATATTGAATGAATATTTTAATCTGGAATTCTTTCCTTCTTCAACATTTTAGTACAACAGAGAGATTTTGACTCAAAAGTCTATGTTGTACAATAGTGATGTGTGTCATTTACTATCCTTTATAATATAGTATATTTTATAACTTATAATGGATGTGTGTAACACTGTTCATGGTGTATAGTCTTTACTCAAACTGGTCTAAAGTGATATTCTAATAGTGGATAAATTAAAGTTTTATTGGAGGCAAAATCAAGATTTGGTTGCCCAATAGTAATCACCAGGTCTGTTTGTCAACACTTTTATGTGACATGATATCTTAAATACCTTTCAGTCTGCGGACTTGATACTTAATACATAAATAGAGAATGGTTAAAGGAGCTAGAACGTGCACAGTTTTGGGGTTCACTTGGTGAAAGGTCAAGGTCAAAACTCAAAATAATTGATATGATCATTGTGATGCAAAACCTTTATAACACTGCCTTACCTACAGAGTTTAGTTAGATGAAATTTATAGAACATTTGGGAAATTAGGTCAAGATCAGAGGTTGAAATTTTTGATCTGATGATCATTGTAATGCAATAACTTGGACATTTTGAAACCAACAGACTTCATTTGTAGGGTATACAATGCATACAGAATGATCAGAGAAAGATATTTATAGGTTTTCAAATCAACTTGATCAAAGGTTAAGGTTGAGATTATTGATTTGACCATTGTGATGCAATAAATAGAAAAACTAGACTTTATATTTATACCCTCCGCAAATGAAGTTCGGGGGGGGGGGGGGTATAAAGGAATCACCTTGTCTGTCTCTCTGTCCGTCTGTCTCTGCAATCGTGTTCGGTCCATGTCTTTCTTACGGAGAAATATTAGACTCTACTACTTCACACAAAGATTGTTCATGACCTGATGGTGTGCCATGACCTTGACCCAAGGTCATTTGGCCAAGTTCAAGGTCACTGAAAGAAAAAGTTCATAATTTGTATCCTGGCCATATCTTTCTTATGGATAAACTTGGTGAGTTCCCATTTTACACAAAGATTGCTTATGACCTGAGGGTGTACGTGCCATGACCTTGAACCAAGGTCAATGAAAGAAAAAGTTCATAATTTGAGTCCGGGCCATATCTTTGTTATGGATAAACTTGGTGTGTTCCCATTTTACACAAAGATTGTTTATGACCTGAGGGTGTGTCATGACCTTGACCTTGACCCAAGTTCATTTGTGCAAGTTCAAGGTCACTGACAGAAAAAGTTCATAATTTGTGTCCGGTCTGTATCTTTCTTATGGAGAATAATGTTGGGGTGTTGTGAGTTTCCACTTCACACAAAGATTGCTTATGACTTGAGGGTGTGTCATGATCTTGACCTATAGTCACTATAGAAAAAATGGATAAATAATGCATCCATACTTTCCACTAGAAAAATACTTGAAAAATTGTTATTTATTTTTTTCAATGTAATTAAAAAACAATGTTATTATTACTATTGATGCAGTCCTTAGCTTCATTCATTATAGAAATATAATGAGCAATTACTGGTAAATTTTCACTCTAAATATTTAAGCAAATTGTGAACAGCTCTTAGATCCATCGAATACTAGTATTAGTGACTTGGCACCTTCTCTTAAAAGCCCTGCAGGGGGTATTTGTCCATTTTGGACAGTTCTAGTTAATATACAGGTGGTGAACACATTGGAAATGACTTGCACAAGTTGTAGAATCACATGGTTCAAGGGCAATTTTCTTTAAATGACCATTGTGATGTAATAATAAGTTGGATTTCTTTTTTAATGTAAAAAAAAAAAAATCTTTTATTTATGTCATGTACATGTTAAATAAATATTAGTGTTGTCAAATCGGACGATTTTTAGTAACCGGTTACTCGCTTACTTTTCTGATCAAATACCCGGTTACTCGGACGATTTTCGTTACAGTTTCCATATCTATTATTTATCTCATCCCTTACTTATTGTAGAAATAAAACACAAATGTACTGTATATGAACTTTATTTACAATTACAAATTCAAACACATACACAGTATCTCCAGAGAAGAAGAACCCCGTAATTGCTGGTTGTTTTTGTGGAGTGTCCAGTAAATTGCTGGTTTCCAAATTATATTTTAATCTTAGGTGATTTAACACATTTGTAGTCCCACCAGTATACAATAACTCAAATTCACATAATTTACATTTAACAGATTTCAAATCAGCTGTTCATTTAAAATACTTCCAATCTTAGGATGTCTTCAGTGGCATCTTGTTAAATTATGTTCTGACTAATAATTATGAGGCAATTATAGCTCAGGTCTCAGAAACTTTTATACCCCCTAGCAATGAAAGCTATCAATTATATAAACTGTGAAAACTAATCAAAACAAATCAATCCTATTTGTGAACCACTAGATCAAGTTTAACGGCAAACAAAACTAGAGAAATGTGTTAGTATACATTTATAAACAATATAACATTTACTTTCTTGGTATTTAGTATGTAAAATATATTTTTTATTGAGTAGCGGAATAGCAGTTTTACTAACTGATATTCGCATTGTTCAACGGTTAACCGGGTACTCGTTGACAACACTAATAAATATTGATTCAATTGAAGAAGACTTTTCTTGTATAACAATCCAGGATAAAGGGTTAAGACTATTCAAGTATGACTTGCATATATAAACAATAGTAGGCGGGATATACATGTACCTACAAATTTTGACGTTTTTGATTTTCAGTGGAAGATCAAGGTCAAAGTGGTTTATTTTCACACGAACACCCTTTTTTATGGTAAAAAAAACATGAGACTATTTCAACATTCAAACTTTTAAATCATTACTCAAAAAAGATTACTGAAGATTCTGAGGTAAAGGTCAAAATCAAAGGTCAGCATTACTGATGTAAGGATACTGCATGGCTTTGTATGACTTCCTCAGTTTTCTAATTTACCTGCTTGTCATAAAAAAAGCATACTTTTCTCTGAAGTTGTATCAAGAGGAGATAATTCTGAGGTTGTAGGTTAAGATGTTGAGATTCTTATTCTACACTAAAGAGCTTGTTAGCCAAGGTACCATGTCACAGTAGGCATTGTAAGAAATAGAATACAATGAGTATCTGCTCTGCTTAACGTAAAAGCTTAATCAGACCTCTCTTCCTGTAGAATTATTCACTACATGTACCTGGTGCCTGGTGCTGCAGAAATACTTATGTCTAGTGAAGAGTTCTTCATTCAAAAGTGATAATAGTAAATAAACTAAAAAGTAAACTGTAAATACAATTCATTTTGACTTTTGTTAGTTTGTATTTTATGTATTTCTTCTTTATCAAAAAAGGTCTTTTTTAATGTGGGTTTCCATTTGGATTACAGAAATGTTAAAAAATAATAACAACAGATTAATATCATGGATCCTATGTACATATAGGTATGCATATGCAGTATAGCTCTGTTCAGTTATTCCATGTCAACACTTTGTATAAAAAAGGCTCTGAAGAAAGTGTGGTATGTATGATTAGAAATTTTATTGTTTGCAAACAGTTTGAGTGTTGTTTAAGAATTTTTGTACTGCTTCGTCAGATATTGTTATAGATAGCCATCTATCATTAGCTCACCTGAACTAGCTATTCAATCAGGTAATGTTATAGATAGCCATTTATCATTAGCTCACCTGAACTAGCTATTCAATCAGATAATGTTATAGATAGCTATTTATCATTAGCTCACCTGAACTAGCTTTTCCAATCCATGTATGGCAGATGTCATCTGGCTTTTGCTACAAATTTTTCACATCTTCTTACTTTCCAGAACTGATGAGCTACCTCTACTGAAATACATGTATAGCACAAAACATTCTTAGGGACGCAGTTTTGTTGAAATAATGAACCAACCCTGTCTCAACTTTAATATTAGTCATATTAACATACATCAAGTTTTCAAATCATGACCCCTGTATATAGGGAGGAGCCACAAAAGGGTGTTTCAGTTTACATTGAAATACGTAAGGGGGATTATTAAAAATTTCCTTCACAAGAACAATAGGACTACAATAAATTAGTGCATATTAATATTTTGTTCACATCATATTGGCCAATGGGGCTATGAATGGACTGAACTTGGGATTAAAAGTTTTACATGGGAATATACAGAAAATGTTTTAAAAAAAAAAAAAAAAAAAAAAAAAACTTTCAAGAGGAGCGGTGCCACTATAAATCTTTTATCATTTACAATTCTTCAAATTATTGACCTTGGGGTTAATGCAGCAAAGTTGAGGATCAAATTTTACAAAATACGTGTGTTAAGTGTTTATAGAAAAAAAATCTTTCATAATTTTCTTCTTCAGAACCACACCCATTTTAGTTATACTTATGTACAGCATCTCCATGTTGTTTGGTTAAGTAATGATTCCATGTTGTTTGGTTAAGTAGTAACCCTTTGTGGCCTGGGGTGGGGCCTCAATATGGAATCAACATTTTTAAGGAGAATATAGAGGAATTTGAAAAAATAAAATCTGACGATGAATAATTGCAGGTTCAAGGTGATATTGGTGGCCTATGGGCCTCTTGTTTTTATGTGTGGACCACTTTAAGGAGCTTTAGAAGACAAAGTGACTCAGGTGACTGTGGAAGCCCCCAGGCCTCTTGTCTTCCAGATTTCTATTTATCAGCTTATGAGTGCTCTGGTATATTAACTTTTTAGGGTCAGTAGATTTGCTTGTGAATTGCATGTTTGCATGAGTGTTCTTTGCAAACACTGGACATGATTGTAATGTTATTAATATTTTTGTATCTTTAGATTGGAATGACAGATGCAAAACAGCTTTTGCTTGCCTTTTTTTTCATGTCTTTCGATGAGCATTTATAGAGTTGTGTGAAAAAATTTTAAAAATCTGTGAAACAAACTAACATTTTTATACTTATGAATTTAAGATATTGTAAAGATATATTGTCTAATTGCATGACTATGATTTAAACTCACCTTTACAAAAAGAGTTTTTGTTACCAAAGTTTATCCATTTTCTCTCTGTTTTAATTATATTTTGTATACATGTATGTAAACTTTTATATGTTTTGGCATTTTCTCTGGACAGAAACTGCTTGCACACATGTAGTTTCAACCATGCATTTCTGATCTAATTGTGTACTTTTAGGTCATGGGTTAAAATATAATGTTAAAGTAGAAGCTATACCAGTCAAAGGGGTGGAATTGGGGGAGGGGGCAATAAAAATGAAGTGGTTCATTGAAGCTAAAATTTTCTTTAATTTTGAAGTTTAAAGAACTGGACTTGAATATTAAGTCTCAATTAGGAGGATTTTGATTTTTATTTGTATGTTTGATTCATGAATATTTGTGGCTTGGGAAAGACTTTTAGGATGATATCTGTTTAATATAGTCTTCTTGATATCTGTGAAATGAAGCCTTATTGGTAGATGTGGAATAAAGTGTTTTGTATATCTAATGAAGTGTACGTTAGCTTAATCAAATTTAGATTTTTACTTGAAAAAAACAAAGCTTTCTACATTATCTATTTTGTTTATATAATAAGTTCAGTGTTATGATAAAAGGTTTAATGTATACAAATGTTAACTTTCTAATATTTTTTTCATGAAACATGTTTATGTAAAGTTTAATTATTTTTCAATTGATATATAATTTTCATATCCTTATTTTGGTAGACATGTCTAGTGGCAGTGGACAGAAGGCATGTATGGGCGGGCTCGTACGGAATATTTATCATTGACATTGAGACAATTCGAAGTAATAAGACTCTGATGGATCATCAAGAAATTGTCATGGATATTGTCTCCGTAGACAATGGAAGGTACATATGTATTGTAACTGTTTATTCTTAAATTGGTTAAATGTCTAGTTTGTACCTTTTGAATCTAAAATAACATAACTAAATGTATATTGAGTTCATATTGTTTAATCTTAAGATGTCATACTTATGAAAATTTAGAAAATCATTCTTTGTGAATCTTTGTGTCTGGATATATATGTTCCTATTGTTTTCTTTCAAAATTACAATCTTTGTAAATCTCTAGACTTTGTACATCCCTTACTAACTGATGATTTATTAAAAAAGAAAAACTGCATTTGAATATTTTAAATATAAACAACTAAAAAAATTTAAATTTGCTGTATCACCACGACGTATTATATGTATTATTTAATTTTAAAAAATGCTGAAGTTTTAGTCTTTTTTTTCCCCTACAAAATCTTGCAGTTTTGAAGGAATATGTTCATGCCAGAAATGTACATAGTGTGAAACATGTTCTCAAAAGGATTTTTCAAAATTTCCTTTTTTGAGGGGCTTGTAAATCAAAAGGAAGGCCACAAATAGTTTGATTCTGGGACTTCCTTTTTATACGACAGAGCCTCCCAACAGCTTTTATTTGTCAGATAGAGATCTGTTAAGGACTGTAAATCTAAAAAGTGATAACATTTCAGAATTTCTCAGAAATTTCTATTTTATTTTGTTTTAAATTTCAACAGTTTTGGTAAGAAAATACTTTGATTTCAGTGGACATTTCCTAGTGGGGGCCTAAAATAATCTATCTTCCATCTATGTAGGTATGCTTTTACTGCTAGTATAGATGGGATAATAATGAAATGGGATGTGCAGAAACTGATACAGGCCCAGCCCCCAATAAGACTGGAGAATATACGAGATCTACGCAGCATCAAGTATTTTAAGGAACACATCTGGTGTGGTAAGATAGAAGTCCTTTAATCTTGAAAAGTCTTTTGAAAGATTCATATAAAATGTTTAACCAGGGCAGTTTGACATTGAAAAAATCATTTTTAGTAACATAAAACCAGCTTAGGTAGACATATTAAAGAAATTGATAAAACATGGTAGATATATTTAAATGTTGCAGGCTACAGCAGGAGTTTTCTTCTCCTCATGTAAAAGTTTTTGAATAAATTCTGCTTCATCAGAATATGTATATATATTGGCTAATAAAGGGGCACAATAAGTGCCTGTTTTGTTGGAAGTCTTGGTCTTCAAAAACTATACAGGAATTTATTTAAATCTCTAAAAGTGAGGCTTCCAATTCTTATATGGGGAAAATATCTTCATATAATACAATCCAAGTGGAGATGCAGTAGGAATACTTAGATTTAAAAAAAAAATAAATATGAATAGCATTTTTCAGGAAAAGAAATTGCTTAGCATTGCTTAGTGACTATATGAGTTTCTTGTTTATCTTAGCTTATCTTTTCAAAATTTATTTTATAGCAATCAGAAAACAGTATTCATGGTAAAAATAAAATGTATGGTTGATTATTTTGATGGGGAATTGACTGCAGGCCCCAATTTAGTGGAAACATAAAGGAGTTAGAGGGGTGGGAAGGAGGTGGTAGAAATTTAACAAGCAGAATATGAATGGCGTTTTTTTCTGTTTTTTGTAGGAACCTGGCATAGAATTCTTAGAGTCAATGGGAGTGGTCATATTCTTCAGGAACTTGAGTTCTCAGTGGAGGATCCAAAGTCTCGCCCGGTGGAGATGGACTGTTTTCTAATTGTAAAGGCAGAATTTGCAGATGAGAAAGATGAGGTTAGCCAAGAATTTATTGAATTACTGATAAAATGCAAGATGCATGACAAAATTTTAAATTAAGATTGTGTCTAACTTAGATTTGGGCAGGGTGTAGGAGAGAGGGAGAGATTGTAATCTGGGAAGTGGATGGAAAAGAACCATCGCACAGAATCAAATTGGATTGTCGAGGAATCAGTGACATGGTCATCCAAGACAGAAGGGTAAGGAAATGGAAGGATTTGTTTTTTAATTTGTTTTTTATGGGGGGGGGGGGGGGGGGGGGGCTATGCATATTTATTGTATGATATATACAATTTACTAAAAGCAGAAATTTTTTTTTCACTGATAAATATTTATTTAACTGATAATATTTATCAGTGAAATTACAGGGAAGTCACTAGCAAAATATTTCCCTAGACATTGTAATTTTATGATTATTTTTGAAACATCAAAATTAAGTCCTTGCCCATAACAAATCAACAAAATTTTATCAGCAGAAATTAAAATAGTAACACAAAGAATCCTAAACTAATTGCACTAGCTATGACCTTTGTACTCTTGCAGGTTTGGGCAGGATCCAAAGATGGCAGAATTTTCATAATAAATTCTGAATCAAAGAGAGCCTTCAGAACACTGCAGGCCCATGATGATGCAGTTCGCTCCCTTTGTAATGCGGAAAATCGCTATATTCTAAGTGGTTCTGGCAGCAACGATGGAAAGATTGCAATATGGACACCTAATGATACCCGCTCTGAGTCAGGAACATACCTAGGAATTTAGAAATCTGTAGAATAGTATCAAGTAAAATATCATCATCTGGTTGTTTTTACCATGAGAGATCTTACTTGTATGAGCTGTACATTAAACTGAGTACTAGAAGAGGTCCCTCAGTGGTGCCCTGAATTCATCATTCATCATTATCCTATGACCAGAGAGTATAATTTGTGGGGGGGGGGGAGAGTATAATTTGTGGGGGGGGGGATCAGGGTCTGTAGAGAGTTGATATAAGCCTCTATTCCCAATGCTATAAAGCAGGTATTTTCCCAATTTTTGCTTTAAATTCCCAAACAGTGGGAAAAAAATCAAAGCAGGGTAACCTTATTATTCATAAATCTTTAAAAAAAAATGCCCCCCAGATTCTAATTTTTACCCCAAAATTGTTAAATATACATGTACTTTTTTTAGCATCTGCCTATTAAATGAGGAAGTCTTGACCAAAATAAAAATAGAAGGAGTCCAATCATACCTTATTGCATTGGTTTGGTTTTTTCCCCTACTTTTCTTGTATGAAATGTTTTTCCCAATTTCAATGAATGTTAAGACCCAGACCCTTGATATCGAGATAAAAAATCATATTGTGTCATTTTATAATTTCTTTTTACAATGCTGCACAGGAGAGAACATTGAAAATGTAATAATTAAGTGCATTGTTATGTATTGTAAGTCCTTGGCTTTGCTCTACGTCCCCACTGTTTTATATCACTTGTTATCTCACCATACATTGGGAACACAATGAACTGTTATAAATGTTTGTTACTGCACCCTATATCATTCCAGTCTGACCATCATTGATCATCATTATAAACCTCAAATGGAAGACCATCAATTATTTCATTTATATTCCTCACAGGCATCAGGTTCACTTGATTGAGTTTACCTTTAATAAATAATTGATACAATTATTGATAAAAGGAATTAATAATTTCTATTATTCATATTATGATGAGTTAATACTGATTTTGTAGTAGGGTGATTTTTGTTTACTAGGAAACAAAGGAAGTGCTTATTGTTCATTTGTTTCTTGCCGAACTGTCCAGATTGCACTGAATATTTGGTAGAATTTTAATTTTATTTACATTGTTCAGTACTTAACTAGATTGTTATAAGAATAAATGTTGATTTTTTTTTTACTATATATATATATGAAATATATTTTAACAATCAGATATGTTTATTGTATAGTAACATTGAAAAAAAGTTTTTTAAAGCAACTTTTATCAATATTTTTATTCTGTATATATCTCAGGAAGGGAAACCAAAGAAATATGCAGTACAGTTTAATTTTAATGGCCATGATCTTGTATACTGAATGAAATCCTTCCCATTTCCTTAAAATATTCGAACTTTATCCGTAGATATCCTACTTTTTTCCTCTCTGTTTTAATGAGATGTTTTTATTGAATATGGCAATATTTTGAATCGCTAAGATTTAAACAGATTTTAATACTGACTGCAGTATGAGTAAGCAGAACAACTCAGGAGAATAAAAAGAAATAAAATAATTGTTTATTTAAAGGGGGGTTTTTTTTGTATGGTACATGCACAATTTTTAAAAACAATAATTTTATTCTTTTTAAAAATGTTTACAAATTATTTTCATAAAAATCCATAAATTTTATTCCTACTCAGTTTATCTTATACATTAGCAAACAATCGGTACCACATTTAAGGTTTCTGGTACCTCATCATTAATCATTTGATTAAAGATACAAAAACCTTAAAAATTCTGTTAAATAGCAATATTTATTCTTTCAAAATCTTTTTTTTAAATGATATTTGAGCAATGTAGGTTCATCACATGGCCACAAATTCATTGTAATGTCAAACAAACAACGAATTCTAATTTTTCTTTTACATCGTAAAGAACCGACATGTATTCAAAGAATTCAAGTTTTACCTTAGACTTTTGAAAAGTAATATTTTCATGGGTTAAAGTTCACAAATTGTATTATGGTACGGTCACAAATGTAACATTTATAAGTGATATGGTATTACTTTTAAGCATCTATCAGGATATAGATATGGGTTGGTACGTAATCAGATCAATCCTAAAGGCCCTTCAGGCTTTACTGGATTTGATCACTTGACCAACCCATATCTACTTCCCCATAGATACCTTTTTTCTTATAAAACGCATAACAAAACTTGATGGAACTGCAGTTTAAGTATGCGACAAAACACTTATTTTTTCCTTGATCCTTACATATCAATCTGTGATAATCATTGTTTATTGATAAATTATTGATTAAATTATGTGAAATATTAATTTTTATATGTTTTTACTAATATAAACCAGTTTTAGGCCACTTATATGAAAGCCATTAAGAACAGCCAATGGATTAATTGTCATTTTAATGGTAATATTACCAGCGTATTCTTCTCCTTTTGTTTACTACTGACCACACAGTCAACTTGTACACAGGCACCATTAATGAGATGGATATTTGTTGGTATAGCTAATGGCACTAGTGTAACAGTGTTTAAAAATGTTGGAAACACCAAACATAAATGTGAATTGTGTTGGAATATCCCTCACCTGACCCAATCTTGATTCCTTAAAAAAAAAACTTTCACATCATGTAAATGGACTGTATTCTGATGCCCTGGGATAAAATTTTAAATAATGATTTTGAGGTTCATTTATACTCCAGTAGTAAGCCATGGTTGTAAAATACGGAGATAACGAACAGTATTCAAGCTCATAGTCCATTTAAACAATACAAATCGAGCAGAGCAAACACCGACCTCCAAAAAACAGATGCGGGATCAGGTGCCATGGAGGAGTAAGCATACACTGTCGACTGGTCACACCAACCGTGTGCTCCTTGTCATGATCGGATAAACGGAAACAGAAATTTCAGTGTGTAAATAATGACCTAACAATTAGTATGAAAAACTTAAGTCAGCATTTGACTTAATGATACATTATTTTTGCTGATAAGGTCATTGTATCGCCAATAGAAATTGCAAAATGATGACTTTAGACTAGACTGTTGATATCCTTGTTTCATCAACTTGTTGGTTAATAGTTTGCTTCGTTTCAAAAATTGATCTGTACGTAGTGCATCCTCTTGCGTATCGAATCAACTGGGAGATATCCCAATATTCAGGTGATAAGGGTATATTTCAATAGTAAGGGAAGTTGATGATGGAAAAGTTGAAATCATGACGTTTATCATAAAGTTTTGTCGTTAGGTTACGATTAATGTCTTTTTCTAGTAAAATATCCAAATATGAAACAGATGTGTCAGACTCTGTGGATTCTTTTTATTTCAAGTTCAATGCGATAAACTTGACGCAGTTTATCACATAATCTGAGGTAAACGACATATGCTGAATATAAACGACATATGCTGAATATGTTGATTCAGCATATTGAATCGACATATGAATGGGAGTAACTATTGTTGATTGATAATATGTCGTCGATATATCTAAATGTCTAGTTGAAGGCCACAGCAAGTGTTTTCTTCTCATATATAAGTTTTTGAATAAATTCTACGTCATACGAATACAAAAATAGGTCTGCAAATAACGGGGCGCAATTGGAACCCATGGGAATTCCATCAGATTGTTGGAAGACCTGATCTCCAAAAACTACATATACTCGTATATTGTAAATTAGAAACTCAAGCATCTTTTTATTATCAACATCAGAGTACCTCTGTGTACAATCAGAGTGTTTTTAAACAAAATAATTTTGCCAATGACCAATGACCAGGTAAGTTTATTTAGGAGTTCGATTTTTATTGAAAAAGCAGTAGTCTATGATGTCAAAAAGCCTGGATTTTAATTGATTGTGGGGAGTAGTTGTATAAAGTGTTGAAAAGTAAGTCATGCTTTTTGATGTTATTGATTTTGTTAAAATTTTGTGATTTCAAATTTCCTAAAAGTTCCTTGGAGTTTTTAAGTATCCACATCTGATTTACATCTGGATTCCTAAACTTCATAAAAATCCTTACAAACAGAGATACATTGCTGGGTCCAGCAAATGCTCTACCAAGCCCTTATCTTTACCCCTTACAAAAATATCAACGACTGTAAAGAAGAAACTTCAGATGTACTGTGCTTCAGCTTTTTCTAGAAGTGGTGTAAATCAGGTGTGGATTCTCAAAAACTCAAAGAACTTTTAGAACCTTAAAATCACCAAATTTTTCAAAAGTCTATAACATCAAAACTTACGACTTTTCTTCACTTTATACAACAATTCCTCGCGATAAATTAAAATCTAGACTTTTTGATATCATAGACAACTGCTTTTTAAACAAGAGGCCCATAGGCCACATCGCTCACCTGAGTAACTTTGGCCATGCTGTTCATTACCAGACTTCCCCCCTTGTAATACCTATTGTGGCCCCGCCCTACCCCTGGGGGTCATGATTTTAACAATTTAGAATCTACACTACCCCAGGATGCTTCCACGTAAGTTTCAGCTTTTCTGGTCCAGTGGTTCTTGAGAAGATTTTTAAAGATTTTTCTTATATATTTCAATGTTTCCCTATTGTGGCCCCGCCCTACCCCCGGGGTCATGATTTGAACAATTTAGAATCTACACTATCCCAGGATGCTTCCACATAAGTTTCATTTTTTTTGGCTCAGTGGTTCTTGAGAAGAAGATTTTTAAAGATTCTTCCTATATATTTCAATGTAAAACTTGGATTCCCTATTGTGGCCCCGCCCTATCCCCGGGGGTCATGATTTGAACAATTTAGAATCTACACTATCCCAGGATGCTTCCACATAAGTTTCAGCTTTTCTGGCCCAGTGGTTCTTGAGAAGAAGATTTTTAAAGATTTTTCCTATATATTTCAATGTAAAACTTGCATTCCCTATTGTGGCCCCGCCCTACCCCCGGGGGTCATGATTTGAACAATTTAAAATCTACACTACCCCAGGATGCTTCCACGTAAGTTTCGGCTTTTCTGGCTCTGTGGTTCTTGAGAAGAAGATTTTTAAAGATTTTTCCTATATATTTCAATGTAAAACTTGCATTCCCTATTGTGGCCCCGCCCTACCCCCGGGGGTCATGATTTGAACAATTTAAAATCTACACTACCCCAGGATGCTTCCACGTAAGTTTCGGCTTTTCTGGCTCTGTGGTTCTTGAGAAGAAGATTTTTAAAGATTTTTCCTATATATTTCAATGCAAA